CGTCCCCTCCCCCTCCCTCCACGCCACACCACCCCTTTACTCCTGCTCCTCCTACCTCCTCAACCCTCCACTCCTGCCCCGCCCCTTCTCAGGCCTGTGTGTTTGCTCTCTCTGGGTGAGCGGGGCGGGCACACTTCAGAAAGGTTCTTTCTCTCTCTGATGGGAACAGTGAGGACGCTTGGCTCTGTGCTGGTCTCTGTTGCAAGTGATATAGTTGGCCTAGTCGTCTCTCTTTATTTCTTTTCTTTATTTTTGTTGCCATGAAGCTTCTCTTTGTTATTTGTGTCGTGTGGAGGTCAGTTGAATGGCTAGAGGGCTGCACATGCTGGGGTCCCTTGCTGATGGGTTCTTGATGTATGTGTGAGTCAGAGCTTTACCTTTAGGGGCCTAGAGGCTTTTCGCCTAAAGCCGGTTCTGAGTTATTCATTCTTCCATCTGCCCAGATCTTCATCCACCTATCAGCCCATCCAACCATTCATTCAACTATCTACCCACCCATCCACCTACCTGTCCGTCCACCCACCCATCCCACCATTCATTTTCTGTCTACTCAGCTCTTTGTTCATCTATCAGTCCATCCAATCTTCCATTCAACTATCCATTCACTCATCTGTACACTCACCCCCCCACCCATCCATCCATCTAGCTATCATCTGTCCACCTTCTGTCTAGTATCCTTCCTCCCATCCAGCTCTCCATCCGTTCCTCCCATCTAGCTCTCCATCTATCCATTGTCCATCTTTCTGGTTCTATTCACCCACCCATCTGTCCACCATCCCTTCTCCCTCCATCTATCCTTCCAACTACCCATGGCCCATCCGCCCAGCTAGTGTCCATTCATCTAGTCAATGTTAACTAGGTGAGGGAGGCTGTAAAGTGGTACCCTGTGTGTGTGTCCTATCCTGGTTGAAGCCTGCGGCTTGTTAGTTGAAGATGGAGGATAAGCTTCAGGCTACTTCTCTGTGAGCTGGTCCAGCTTCCCCTCCTTGCCTTTCCCTGCCTTTCCTGCTCTGCAGCAAGCCCTGGGGAGAGATGGCATGGTACTGCAGATTGGCAAAGCTGAGACAACTTCCTGTGGCGCCAAACTTGCATGACAGCATCAGCCAATTGTGCGAGAGAAAGTGGTTGTGTCATTGTTGGAAAAACCCTTCTCAAAGGCCTCTGTGGGGAAGAGCCTGAGGAAAGCCGATTTCTGATTGACAGAGCCCAGATCAGTGAGAGCCGAACGGCCTTGGGGGATTTTGAGAGTGTTGGGGACAGAAGCCCTGAACTGTATCTGTCCCGGCTGCCTCCTGGCCACCTCTCACTCTGCCCCCATGAGTGTGTGGCTTCCCTTCCTGGGCTGCTGCGCCTTCTCTGTCCCTGTCTGTGTACCTCAAGCTCCATTTCCCTGGGAAGAACATTGGTCACCAGCCACGAGAACACCCTGGCAGGGGCCCAGCCCTGGTGCAGAGCCAGCTCCAGGCCTCTGTCCGGTCAGTGGGAGTACAGGGCATCCACCCCAGAGGGGAAATGTGCTATGGGAGGCTCCTTGCAGGGTCTTTCCCTTAGAGAGAACCATGTGGCACTGTGGGTATCTAGAAATACCAGCCCCTATGACTGTGCCTTTGACACAGGTCTTGTCCATGTGTGACTCTGAGGGTGGCCGGGTGATACTGGTTGTGACGGTGACATGCCTGACATAACTGTTTGGGGGTACGCAGGTGTCCTGAGGCATGGGGACAGGGTAGTGTAGGGACAGGGTAGTGTGATAAGCTGTTTGACGCAGACTGGTGATGCTGTGATGCTGGGAACGGTGTTGTGCCACAATGGTTAGGCCTGCTGAGGACTGCTGTGGATTGTGTGGGTGAGATGAGAGAGGGGCCTTGGGACATCCATCGGTGGGCTGTTGGGGTCGACAGGAAATGGGTGTGGTCCTCCCTGGAGACAGTGCCCCGTGCCCACACCACCTGACTTTGTCCCCAGCCGCCAAGCGCCCTGAGGAAGTATGTGGGCCCACGCAGTTCCGCTGTGTCTCCACGAACACGTGCATCCCGGCCAGCTTCCATTGCGACGAGGAGAGTGACTGTCCCGACCGCAGTGACGAGTTTGGCTGCAGTGAGCAGGGCCCTGGGTCCCGGGTGCCCCTGTCCACAGCCTCAGCCTCCACTCTCTCTTGCCTGACTCCCTCCCTCACCCCTCCTTCCTCTGACTCCTTACTCCTGCTCTGGTTTCCCTAGTGCCCCCCCAGGTGGTGACACCTCCCCAGGAGTCGATCCAGGCCTCCCGGGGCCAAACGGTGACCTTGACGTGTGTGGCCATCGGTGTCCCCACCCCCATCATCAACTGGAGGCTCAACTGGGGCCACATCCCCTCTCATCCTAGGTGTGACTCTGGGCCTGGGTGGTGGGCTAGGGGAAGCTGGTTCAGGGGCCCAGGTCAGACCCCACCACTGTCTTGGGACCCACCAGGGTGACAGTGACCAGTGAGGGTGGCCGTGGCACGCTGACCATCCGTGACGTGAAGGAGTCAGACCAGGGAGCCTACACCTGCGAGGCTATGAATGCCCGGGGCATGGTGTTTGGCATTCCTGATGGCGTCCTGGAGCTCATCCCGCAGCGAGGTACGGGCTGGAAAGCAGGCGTGTACCCGGCGGGGGTGTGGAGGCAGGGCTGCCCGCCGGTGGTTAACAGTAGCACCCTCCCATGCCGCCTAGCAGGCCCCTGCCCCGATGGCCACTTCTACCTGGATCACAGTGCCTCCTGCCTGCCCTGCTTCTGCTTCGGTGTCACCAACGTGTGCCAGAGCAGTCGCCGCTTCCGTGACCAGATCCGGTTGCGTTTTGACCAGCCTGATGACTTCAAGGGTGTGTTGGTGGGCAGATGGACGTCATGGGAGGCGGGCACCAGGCTCTGGCGGGCGTAGAGGACAGATGTGGACAGTGGGGGGCAGGTTACAGGGAGGGACATGGGGTCGCTGAAGAAACAGAGCCCTGTAAGAAAAGCATTTCAGAGGAAAACCAATATTTTGGGGAAAGACCAAGTCCCTACTTGGTACCCGCTGCAGGGTGTGGAGAGGATGGGGTCAGGAGCCAGACTCCTGCTTTACATCCTGATGCCCACACTTCCTGCCTGTGTACCCTTGGTCAAGTTACTTACTATCTTGTGTCTTAGTTTTCTCATCTATAAAATGGGGACGGGCCGAGCACAGTGGCTCATACCTGTAATCCCAACATTTTGGGAGGCCAAGGTGAGAGTATGGCTTGAGCCCAAGAGTTTGAGACCAGGCTGGGCAACATAGTGAGATCCTGTTTCTACAGAAAAATTAAAAAATTATCCAGGTGTGGTGGCACACACCTGCAGTCCCAGTGACTTGGGAGGCTGAAACAGAAGAATCACCTAAGCCTGGTAGGTTGAGGCTGCAGTGAGCTGTGATCATGCCACGGTCTTCTAGCCTAGGCGTGAATAAAAATTCAAAAATAAGATAAAGTAAAATTGGAGGAAATAATAACCACCTCCTCGGCTTTTGTAAGGTCTCCATGGATCCATATGTGCAAGCCACTCAGAATAGTGCTTGGTCCATGGCTAGCACCCAGTGTTTGCTAACATCATCGTCCTCATCCTCATTCTGAGGGACAGAGGTGCCAGTGCCCCCACAGTATCGGAGCCCAGGCTTAGGCACCTGCGTAGCCCAAGACTGACCTCCCACTGTACCACTCACCACCTGTGTGTCTTTGAGCAAATCCCTCAGCTTCTCTGGGCCTGTTTTCCCAAAGGCAGGCAGTTGGGCTCTGGCTCTAAGAGCTAGAATGGCAGGGCGGTGAAGATCCTGAGCCCAGACATCACGTGGACCTGGGTTCAAGTCCAGTTCTGACGTCAGGCTGCCCCCGCCCTCCTGAGCCTCACTTCTGTCACAGGGGATAGCATGCATGAGAGGCTTCACTCAGCCTGTGCTGTGCCCCTCTGCTGGTTGCAAAACTGAAAACTGACCTGTATAAATCTCAGTTACCTCTCAAAGCTGTCCCCAGCACATTTAGGACACTGATGGCCATGGCCGCCGTTTGGAGATCATGCAGTTGGCACTGTGGCTTGACATGTGCGTGTCATGCTTGTGTCATGCAGATGGACCTTGCAAGGTCAGGGCTGTTTTTCATTTTAAGATGAGAGCCCTGAGGCTCTGAGAGGTTGTGGGACTTCCCTGGGGTCACACAGCCGTTGAGAGGCAGCTATGGATCCCAGAGCTGTTTAGAACCTGAATGACCAGGGCTGGTAGGAATTCCAAGGAGGGCGGGTGGGGATCCCAGGGCAAGCATTTGGCCTCTGTGCGGATAGCCAGGACAGTGGGGGCCTGCAGACATGCCTGGGAGGGAGGGGGAGAGAAAACGGTGTAGCCTGGCCTCAGGGCTGGCATGGTGTCTCTGCACACCAGGGCTGGCCTACCCCATGGTTGCATAATTCAGGATCGAGGGGAGATGCTATCGGCAGACCCACGGGACTCTGTGTAAGGAAGAACTTGCTACGCGTCACAGCTGTCAAAGCTGGGAGGGCCTGTATTTGGCGTTAGTGAGCTCCCCATTCAGAACCGTGCCTTCCAGTGTGGCAGTCACTGGCACGTGCAGCTATTTAAATTTCAGTAAAGCAATTCAGTTCTCAGCCAGCCGCATTCCAGTGCTCAGTAGTCGCATGTAGCTAGTAGCTACCAGACCGAAGAGTGCAGGGACAGACCTCTCCATCCCCATGGAGAGTTCTCTTGAAGGGTGCTGCCCTAGGGATCTGGGAGGATGTTGTAGAGGTTATTCCTGTGTGGGGGTGACTATTGTGGGGGAGAAGAAGGGGCTAGATGATCCATCATAACAATAACAATGAGCTAACCATTTGGTATCCATTTGTTCATTCTGTCTTCATGATAACTCTAGGAGGCAGGCCACTTTTAGCACCATTTTACAGATAGGGAAACTGAGGCCTATACTTCTGGAGCATGGTGGAGCCAGGACTTGGGCTCCAGCTCTTCAGTCCTGTCTGGGTCGTTCTCTGATACCCCCAGGGCTGTTCCAGCCTTGACAGTCTGTCAGCTCTGAGGGAGCAAGAGGCTCTGAGAAGTTCTGCGAAGACCCCAACCTTCCTCTGAATCCTGCGGTTCCCAGATGGGTCCTGGGCATTTCCTGGAGCATGCTTTGGGAAATGCTGCTCCAAACATTGGAGGGGGGAAGAAGTCGGAGAGGAGGGAAACCCTATTTTCCTCCCTTAGGGAGAGAGATCAGCATTTTGTCCCATATTTCTCCTGAAGCTTCCCGTCTGTCTCCCGGGTGCCATCCCCCAAGGCAGGCATGTCAGGCGGGCCCTCCCTCTTGCCCTGCAGGCGTGAACGTCACAACGCCCTCGCAGCCCGGCATGCCACCCCTGTCCTCCACACAACTGCAGATCGACACTACCCTGCAGGAGTTCCAGCTAGTTGACCTGTCCCGCCGCTTCCTGGCCCACGACTCTTTCTGGGCTCTGCCCCAGCAGTTCCTGGGCAACAAGGTGAGGGGCCAGGCTGCCACCCTGGTGGGGAAGGGGCTGGGCCCCTCTTGTGCTCTGAACTTGTGTGGATTCCAGTCCCTCCGAGGCCTGCAGGCAGCAGGGCAGACTACTCTCAGCGGGGGAACGTGTCGTCATGCCCAGTGCGGCCCCCTGTGGCAGTGGCTTGCTCATTCAGGGCAGGCCCTCTCTCCACCACTCTTAGCTTAGGAAGAAGAGCTGGCACCCCCTCCTCCTGGGAGCCTTCCCTGACCAATCCCCCACACTTGGGCTGGGTCCAGGGCACCTTTTGCAAAGCATCCCTACCATGGATTGAGCACCCCAGAGGCTGGGTTGAGTCTCACCCATTGACTTTCCTGTGCCCAGCTCAATGCCCAGCGTGCAGGGAGCACCAGCTAGGCAGCACGAGGGAGGAGCTAGAGGACTGGGCACAGCTGTCTGTCATGGGCACAGGGGGCATTGAGTGTGCCCATGGCTGCCTGCCTTGACCCTCCCTGTCCCGGCCAGGTGGACTCCTACGGCGGCTCCCTGCGCTACAAGGTGCGCTACGAGCTGGCGCGCGGCATGCTGGAGCCTGTGCAGCGGCCGGATGTGGTCCTCGTCGGGGGCGGGTACCGTTTGCTGTCCCGAGGCCACATGCCTACCCAGCCTGGCGCGCTCAACCAGCGCCAGGTCCAGTTTTCCGAGGTGGGTGGCGCCTGAGCCCGCAGGGCTAGGGACGAAGGGGCCGCGGGCTGGCCCACGTGTGACCCTCCCACCCTCACCACACCCAGGAGCACTGGGTCCACGAGTCCGGCCGGCCAGTGCAGCGTGCCGAGATGCTACAGGTGCTGCAGAGCCTGGAGGCTGTACTTATCCAGACCGTGTACAATGCCAAGATGGCCAGCGTGGCGCTGAGCGACATCACCATGGACACCACCGTCACCCACGCCACCAGCCACGGCCGGGCCTACAGCGTGGAGGAGTGCAGGTACCTGACCCAGTGGGCTGGGGTCTGCCGAGACCCTGGCAAGTACAGAGGAGAGGCAATGGGCCTCACGGTTCCTGCAGCCCCCTCTCTGCCCTGTCCCCACAGGTGTCCCATTGGCTACTCTGGCCTGTCCTGCGAGAGCTGCGATGCCCACTTCACCCGGGTGCCTGGTGGGCCCTACCTGGGTACCTGCTCCGGCTGCAATTGCAATGGCCATGCCAGATCCTGTGACCCGGTGTATGGCCACTGCCTGGTGAGTGGTGCCAGCTGGCCCTGGACACTAGATGGGGGCATGGAGCAGGGACAGAGTTAAGACTCCCTTGCGCCCATGAGCTTAACGCAAGCCTCTAAAATGACAGCATGACTGCCAGAAAAGCTGTCAGGACTTCCGGGTGCATTAACAGATACGGTGTCCAGACGAGGGAAGTGATGGTCTTACTCCCTTGCACCCTCATCGGACTCGTCCTGGAGGGGGCCAGGAGAAGAAGCATGGCCCTTAGGAGGGCAGCCCTGAGAGGAAGGGGCCTGGATATCTCGGGAAATGGTGGAGCGAGCTGGGGTTGTGGAGCTGACAGAAGAGAAGGCTCAAGCAGGGCAGAACTATTACCCTCAGATCCCTGAAGGGGTGTTGGGTAGAAGGAGTGGACTCCAAAGGGAGAGCTGGCCAGGGAATGCAGCTGGAAGAGGGTGGCGGGTGTAGTTCAGTATAGAGCAGGCACCTGGGCCATCTCTGAGACAGGCTGTCATGTGAGGTGACGTGGCCCCCGTCATCTCTAAGGGGCTGCAATAGCTCCCGTGTCTGCAGAACTGTGGAGTAGTCCCAGCTTGATGGGGGAGGCTGGGCCAGTCAGCCTCAAAGGTCCCCGAGGCCATCTGCAGGGTTCTGCTCCAGAGTCCGAGCCTCTCCCGGCCCTCCCCTGCCCCTAGGATTGCCAGCACAACACGGAGGGGCCGCAGTGCAACAAGTGCAAGGCTGGCTTCTTTGGGGACGCCACAAAGGCCACAGCCACGGCCTGCCGGCCCTGCCCTTGCCCGTACATCGATGCCTCCCGCAGGTCAGACCCAACTTGGGGGGCAGCTTTGGTGGGATGCGAGGGTAGTGCCGCAGACTGGGGGTGTGCTCTGGGCAGGGAGGAGGGGAACCTGGATTCAAATCCCAACCCAGCCACTAAGTTGCCCCAGGCTCCTTGGCCTCTTTGGGCCGCAGTTTCCTTTTCCTCATAATGGGCCGTCTTCCCTCTTGCAGTGCTCTGAGGCCGCAGACCAAGAACGGTGGGGCAGGGGATGGTGTCACGCCCCATGGCATGCTGTGCCTGCCGACAGCAGTCATTGCCTAGGGTGAGGTGGAAAGACGGGCCCAGCCTGACCAGGTCCCGCCCACTTGATACCCACAGGTTTTCAGAAACTTGCTTCCTGGACACGGATGGCCAAGCCACATGTGATGCGTGTGCCCCAGGCTACACAGGCCGCCGCTGTGAGAGGTGAAGGGCGGCCACAGGGGCTGTGGGAGGCGGGTTGTCTTGGGCGGGGACACAGAAGCACTGCTGACGGCCCCTTTCCTCCCCTAGCTGTGCCCCCGGGTATGAGGGCAACCCTATCCAGCCGGGCGGGAAGTGCAGGCCCACCAGTGAGTATCACCGCCACCATCCTGGTACTTCCCAGGCTGGCCCCCAGATCCCCTCCCTCCCTCCCTGGCCCACAATCCTGGGGGAGCTGCCCAGTCTGTCCTCTTGTCTCCAACCATGCCTGTCCCATTCCCTCCGGCCCTGCCAACAACGCTTTGTGCCCCAGACCAGGAGCTCGTGCGCTGTGATGAGCGAGGCAGCATGGGGACCCCCGGGGAGGCCTGCCGCTGCAAGGTATGACGGTGTCCCCACCTCGGGGGTCTTGGCCCGTACCAGGCTCCTCTCTATAGCTCTCGGCCGGTGGGCGGTAGCCTAGCTGGAGGCTGGTGGGTCTGGCTGACTCATCTTCTGCACCACGAGAGGCATTGGGAAGGGGCACTGGTTAGGGAGTCAGGTGACCTGCTTCAAGTCCCAGTCATTTTCTGTGCAGCCGTGGTATCTGTATTGCTGCCTTTGCTTTTTCCATATTTTTTCTATTCTCACATTGACACAATGATATGGGTATTAGCATCCCCAAATTGTGGATGAGGAAACTAAGGCTCAGAGAAGGGAAACCATTTATATTAAGAATGGAAGAAGCAGGCCAGCGAGGTGGCTTCTCACCTGTAATCCCAGCACTTTCGGAGGCCGAGGCTGGAGGACTGCTTGAGCACAGGAGTTCTAGACCAGCCTGGGCAACAGAGTGAGACCCTATCTCTACAAAATATCAAAAAGAAGAATGGGAGAATCAAGTGTCAGTGGAAGAAAGAACTAGACAGAGTTTGGAGTCAGGCACGCCTGATCTTAAATCCCAGAGCAGATGAGCAAGCTGAGTGACCTTGTGCAGGTCACTTCACAGCCCTGAGCCTCAGTTGTCTCATGTGCAGGATGGAGATATCTCCTACTTGACAAGATACTTAGAGGAATTAAATGAGGTGATGGTTGAAAAGAATCTAGCACAGTGCACGAAACACTCCATAAATACTAGCACTCGTTATTTTAATCAAGTTACTATATTTCACATCTGAATTTATCTGTGAACCTCCTGGCAGCCAAAGAGAAAAGGGAGAAATGGTTGCATAAGTTCCCGTTAACTGGGAGCTATTGTTGAGGTGGTAGTGATGCCTTGAGTTCCCACCTGGACTGTGAGTGGGTGTGGCCAGAAGCTCCAGGTGGCCCCTGCAGTGGGCTGTCCTGCAACTCCCAGTTCTGTGCCTGCAGAACAATGTGGTGGGACGCCTGTGTAACGAGTGTGCCGATGGCTCCTTCCACCTGAGCGCCCGCAACCCCGACGGCTGCCTCAAGTGCTTCTGCATGGGTGTCAGTCGCCAGTGCACCAGCTCTTCCTGGAGCCGCACCCAGGTACCTCCCCAAGGCAGGCAGGTGAGCAGGATAGACCCAGGCCAGTCCCAGCCCGGGTCCCATCCTCACCCTCTCCCCTCCCAGGTACACGGGGCCTCTGAGGAGCCCGCTCAGTTCAGTCTGACCAACACTGCGGGCACCCACACCACCGGCGAGGGCATCTTCTCCCCCGCGCCCGGCGAGCTGGTCTTCTCTGCCTTCCACAGCCTCCTCTCCGGACCCTACTTCTGGAGCCTCCCTCCACGCTTCCGGGGGGACAAGGTGGGCGGTGGAGGCAGGAGGAAGGGAACTTGAAGCTGCAGGAACAGCCCCAGCAAAGGCTTGGAAGCAGAAGCATCATGATGCCTTTGGAGGATAGCATGGACAAGGGGGCGGGGACAGTGAGAGGACTTGGCAGTGGCCCTCACTGAATATCTGTCCATCCTGGGCCCCAGGTGACCTCCTATGGAGGAGAACTGCGCTTCACGGTGACCCAGCGGCCCCAGCGTGGCTCCCTGCCACTGCACGGGCAACCGCTAGTGGTACTGCAGGGGAACAGCATCATCCTGGAGCACCGTACACCCCAGGATCCCATCCCCGGCCAGCCTAGCTCATTCACCGTGCCCTTCTGGGAGGTGAGTGGCGCTGCCCGGGAGCCTTCCTGGGGCCAGGGCACAGGATGGGGTGAGCCCTTGCTCCTCTCACTGGAGCCGTCGGCGCCCCAACGTGTCAAGGTCTGAGCACACATGTCCCTTCCTTGGCAGCGGGCATGGCAGCGGCCTGACGGGCAGCCGGCCACACGGGAACACCTGCTGATGGCGCTGGCTGGCATCGACACCCTCCTGATCCGAGCATCCTATGCCCAGCATCCAGCCGAGACCAGGTATCGGGGCCGGGGCAGCAGGAGTGGCTCCAGGAGGGGTCTCCCGTCTGAGCTGTGCAGTGACACAACCACTTGCAGGCTGTGTGGCCTCTCTGTGCCTCGTTTTTCCTATGAAATGGAGATTCTAACAATGCCTCCCTCAAGGGGCTGGCTTGGGTTGGGCTCCTCAGAAGTGCAGCCTGAGACAGGAATGAGGTTGTGCAATTCCCAAGGAGAACCTGTAGGGGAGGCTGCAGGGGGAGGGGCCAAGCAGGGCTGTGGTAGCGGGTCAAGTCAAACCCCCACCTTCTGTCCCTGGGAGCCCTGCAGAGTCATCTTACTTGGAGGCAGACGGACTTTGGAGCCCTGTACCAGCCTGCCACTGGGCACCCCAGGGGAGTGGGTGGTGTACCCTCTTCAGGCGAGGGAGGGTGATCACCAGGGGAAAGCTATAGGCAGCAGCCATTGGCCACAGCCCTCACGGCCGCCGGGGCCTCTGGACGGGCCCACAGGATGGCAACAGGGCTGTTGAGGGACTCCTCCCACTTATGGTGGGTCTTGCCATTCCCAGGATATCTGGCATCAGCATGGATGTGGCAGTGCCCGAGGACACAGGCCAGGATGCTGCGTTGGAAGTGGAGCAGTGTACCTGCCCACCTGGATACCAGGGCCCGTCCTGCCAGGTGAGCCATAGGCCTCACACCCATCCAGCCAGCTCCCTCCTTCATGAGCACTGCCCAGCTCCCCAGGCCTACTCCAGCCCTGGCCACCCAGTACCCCTGTTCAGGCCAGGCTTTGTCTGGGAAACTCCTCCCACTGCCATCCTCCTGCCCCCAGGACTGTGACACAGGCTACACACGCATGCCCAGCGGCCTCTACCTGGGCACTTGTGAGCGCTGCAGCTGCCATGGCCACTCGGAGGTCTGTGAGCCGGAAACAGGTGCCTGCAAGGTGAGGCCTGCCTCCCTGTCCCTTCCCCCCCACCCCAGGGATCCTGGACTCCAGGGGCCTGACCTCAACCTACGCTCTGCTCCTCCAGGGCTGCCAGCACCACACGGAGGGCCCTCGGTGTGACCAGTGCCAGCCGGGATACTTTGGGGACGCCCAGCGGGGGACACCACAGGACTGCCAGCCATGCCCATGCTATGGAGTTCCTGCTGCTGGCCAGTGCGTCCAGTCCCTGCCTTCCCTGAAACATCCGTACCCGCTTCCCATTCCCTTCCCCAGGCCCTTCTGAGAGGCAGTGGTTAAATCCTGGCCTTACCGCTTCCTCGATGTGTCGCCTGGTGTAAGATACATGGCACTTTCCAGCCTCGACTTCCTCATCTGTGAAATGGGGACAGTCTACCCACCTGGGCCCCTTGTATGAGCGTTGAATGAGGTGATGCATGTGGACTTGTTAGACAGTGCCTGGCACATGGTGGCACTTGGGACACTTTAGTTCATGAGCCCTTTCCTCCCTCCCCTCTCTCCTGTCCTGAAGGAGGTGGGGAGAACAAAGAGCCTCTGCCTTTCTTCCCCAGGGCTGCCCACACTTGCTTTCTGGACACAGACGGCCGCCCCACCTGTGATGCTTGCTCCCCAGGCCACAGTGGGCGTCACTGTGAGAGGTGAGGTGGGGGCAGGGCGCGGGGCATGAGGAGTTTGGGGTGGGGGGCTGAGTCCTTGACCAGGCCCAGCCCTCCTGACCCAGAGGAGCCAGGGCCCCTCCCACGCTTCCTTACACAGGCCCCAGGAGACAGTCCTTCCTCGGGATCCTCACCTCCTGCCTGGTGTTCGAGACACTCGGATACCCTAGCTTTGGGCTCACCTCCAGCCCCCAGCATCCCCGCCCCAGGCAGGCCAGAGTCCTCCCACAAAACCCCTCATTCTCGTGGAGGGCCCGAGGCTCAAGGCCTGATGCCCTGCCCCACTGGCTGCGTGGTCTAGGGCACATCCTTGCTCTTCTCCCCAGCTTCGTCATCTGTACAGTGGGTGGCTTAGGCTGTCGCTTTCGTGCAGTGAGTGAGGCCCCTGAGCCCAGTGCAGAGTCCCCACCACAGCCCTGGGTTCTGCTTCCGTCCCTCAGAGGCCTTCTCTCTCTGCAGGTGTGCCCCCGGCTACCACGGCAACCCCAGCCAAGGCCAGCTCTGCCAGAGTGAGTAGGGTGGGGAGGTCGCTGGGGCAGGCTACTCAGTCTCCTCTGGGGAGGAGCTAGGACAGAGCCTTTGTTTCTCTCTGGCTTTACCTTTCTGAGCCTCAGTTTCTTCACCTGTGAGGGGGGTAATGACAATAGCCCACCACCTCTGAGGGCTGTGGTGGGAGCGGAGAGCTCACATCATAAATGCTCCCTCTCAGTGGTGAGCAGAGTGCTCAGGGAGTCGGGGGGTCAGGGGTACCTGGTGGTGGGCTTGGGGCTCCAGCCTGGCTTCCCCTCACCTCAGGAGATGGCCAGGTGCCAGGGCCCATAGGCTGTGGCTGTGACCCCCAGGGCAGCGTCAGCAGCCAGTGTGATTCTGCCGGTCAATGCCAATGCAAGGTCAGTCCGAACCACCAGCCCCTGAGGCCCACCCTGACCGCTGCCTGGGACCTGGTGGGAAATCCGGCCGCACCTGATGGGAAGTGGGTCCTGGGCATGGCGGCAGGGGTGGGAGCTGCTCAGAACTGCCCCGGAAAGGGGCTGCTGGGGGCAGGAGACCCACGGAGGTCCCTGCCTGCCTCTTTCTGTCCACCCCAGGCCCAGGTGGAAGGCCCCACCTGCAGCCGCTGCCGGCCCCAGCACTTCCACCTGAGCGCCAACAACCCTGAGGGCTGCCTGCCCTGCTTCTGCATGGGTGTCACCCAGCAGTGCGCCAGCTCCTCCTACACACGCCACCTGGTGAGAGCCTTGCTGCCCAGCACCGGGGGGCTGGCCCTGGTGACCCCAGGGCCTGAGGAGGCCCCGAGTCCCATTATAGCCCATCTTATTGTAAGCCCCGTGCCCCTCAACCCTGTCCTGATGCCCTCCCCTGCCCCCGAATTCCTCTCCCAGCCCTGATCTCGAAAGCCCTCCCCCGACACCCTCCTGTGTCCCATCCCCCGCCCAGTGTCCAGGCTGATGCCCGGTCCTCCTTCCACACCAGATCTCCTCCCACTTTGCACCTGGAGACTTCCAAGGCTTTGCTCTGGTGAACCCGCAGCGGAACAGTCGCCTGACGGGAGGCTTCGCCGTGGAGCCCGTGCCTGAGGGCATCCAGCTCTCGTTTGGCAACTTTGCCCACCTTGGCCACGATTCCTTCTACTGGCAGCTGCCGGACATGTACCAGGGAGACAAGGTGTGATGTGCAGTAGGTGCTGCACACCTTCCCAAACCAGCCCCACCGAGCCCCAGGATCAGGGTGACTCATGCCCAAGGTCACCTCTGAACAGTCTCGGCCAGCAGGCAGGGGTCTGCCATGTTGCCGCCACGTCGTGGTTAAGCATGTGGCCTCTGGGGTCTGGCAGACGTGGATCTAAAGCCCAGTTCGTGGCTTGTCAGCTGGTCACCTCTTGAGGAACCTCAACTCCAGGGTGTCTGGGAGGACAAGACCATGTTGGTGCATACTCGGTGCTCAGCTGTGAATGAGCTGTATCCTCCATGCGGTCTTTCAACAAACAGGCCCTGGGCGAGGATTGATGTGGCCATTCTCATCATGGGTTGCATGTGTTGAGCACCTCCTGTGTGCTGGATGTTGTTCCAAGCACTTGTATAGGTCACAAATCATAACTGTGAGCTGGGTACTGCTGTTGCCCTGTTTCATAAATGAGGAAACCGAGGTAGAGGTGTTAGATAACTTACCTACAGTCCACAGCAATGGTGGTGATGCTGGGGTCCAAAACCAGGTTGGTACTCTGCTAGCTGGGTGCAGTGGCTCACTCCTGTAATCCCAGCAATTTGAGAGGTGGAGTCGAGAGGATTGCCTGAGCCCACAGGTTCAAGACCAACCTGGGCAACATGGTGAGAACTCGTCTCTACAATAAATCAAAAATTAGCCAGGCGTGGTAGCGCACCTATAGTTCTGGCTACTTGGAAGGCTGAGGCAGAAGGATCACCTGAACCCAGCCGGTCGAGGCTACGGTGGCCGTGAGCGTGCCACTGCTCTCCAGTCTGGGCGACAGAGTGAGACTGACTCAAAAACCAAACCAAACAAAAAACAAACAAAAAAACCTGCTAGACAGGATGTCTTTGATGCTGCAGAACACGGTGTGGAGGGAAGGTGATGGTGAGGGTGCCGTGGGGTGGGGTCTCTGGCGGGCTCCTGCACAGCTTGCCCAGTGTGTTCCTCCAGCACCCCAGGCACCCGGCGGTCCCCAGGGAACGTGGGTCTTGGCAGAGGAGCCCCCTGCTGGTTCAGGCCAGTGCTCAAGCAGATGCACCCCCAGACAGGAGCATGGGATGGGGGGTGGCCAGGGACACTTAGGAGGGGGAGCTTGCAGCTACACCCCATTCCCTGGACTGAGCCTGGAACCCTGACCTCTCCTGGGTCTGCCCCTTCTGCCCCCTTCTCCCTTCTCGGGTTCCTTCTGTCCTGGACTCCTTGTCACGCTGTCCTGCAGTTCTCAGACCTTTCTCTGTCTCCTCTCCTGGTGTTGCCCCACACCCCACAGAGGGAGGCATACTTTACACGGCTGCGCCGGGCTCACCAGGTAGGCCCAGGACGTGAGTGGCGTGACGTTGCTGTGCTGAGCCCCGTGTGGGGCGATGCCCAGGGCCCGAGGCCTCAAGGGTCTGTACAAACCCAGGCAGTGCCCGATGGCCCCGGGGGGTGGGACCAGGAGGGGCGTGTGCCTCGCTTGCCGTGTGATCTGGTCCTGGTGCCACGCGTCTGAGGTCAGCATGGCGACCCAGGCAGTGGGGAAACTAACTCAATGGTAATCTGTGTGGCTGTATCTGGCCCGCCAGGCTCCCCCAGCACTGCTTCCCAAGTGATCCACTTACCCCACTGTGTGTACGTGGCCCTCCTGTGGCCTAGAGTTAGCCCCTATATGCCAGCCTGGAGAGGGAGCATGCTTCTTTCTTCCGAATCAGTGTGGGCCTTTCTGGCTACCATGTCTGTGGGTAGAAGACCCTATCCATGGTTCCAGCTCCAGGACCCTGGGAGGTCTGAGCTGTGCCCTCCATCCCATCAGAACCGCACATCCCTCTCAGAGGCGCAGTTGAGGGCAGCTTTGACAGCTGGGAGCACCCTGGGGCCCTCAGAGGGCAGGGCCTGGGGACAGCGGGCATCACAGGTAACAAGGGCCTGGCCTGGACAGGCTGTGTCTGGGGCCCCAGGGAGCAGACCAGAGAACTTAGTTCCAGCGGGAGCCCTGGTTCCCCAGGTCATTTCCCCCATGCCAGCCCAGGCCCCAGCCTGATGCCCAGTCCATTCCAGTGTTGTCCTTGGGAAACATTCTGGAGCCATGAATGGCTTGAGCTGGTACCACAGGCACATGTGGAGAGACTGAAGAGCAGCCTTTCCCACCACAGATGCCACTGGGGCTGCCTGGCCCTTCTGGCCTTGGCAGGACAGAGCAGTCTGTCCCTCTCACTGAACACACTCCAGAGGGCTATCCCTATCAGTCACGGCCCATAGGCAGCTCAGCCTAACTCAGGATGTCCCTACCTGTCTCAGGAGAAACAAAAGGGTGGCGAGGACAAGGGCCAGGTCATTGGGCGTCAGCATTTGCAGCTACATAGCACAGAGTGGGTGGGCACGGCCTAGGGGAGGCAGGGCCTCATGGGCATCATTTCTGTACCTCTCTGCTCCCTTCCTCTGTCTTTCCACTCCCGGTCCCCAGATGAACGAGGCCCAGAGGCGGATAGATGCTGAGATCTGGCAGCTCCTGTCCAGCTTTGCAGCCCATCCCCAGCCTCCTCCCCGCGGGCTCTCTCCCCATGCCCAGCCAGCAGCTCTGCGAGCAGCTCCCCCTTTCTCTTCCTCTTCCCACTCTTCCTCCTTGTCCTCCTCCTCGGCTTCCCTGTCTTCTCCAGGAAGCTCTCAGGTACGTCCCAAGGCACCCCTGAGGCCCCCGCCTGCCGCTTTCTAGACTTCAGGCACCTCCAAGCCAGCTTCACCATTTCTGTGCACTCTCTGGGTTGTTACTTTAAATTTTCCTTTACGTCCAGACTCAGTTATGCTGGTCTCCTCTTTAAATACACATTCAAAAAACCAGTTGGTTTTAAACTGTTTATCTATTTGCTGCATGCATCTTGGGGTCTGCAGGAGGGACACACACCAGACGAGGGCGCATGTGGACAGACTGCTCCCAGAGAGAGCTACTGGGTGTTCAGCCCAAATGGGGGCGGGGGAAGCTGTCCAAAGAGCAGGACCAGGACTTGCACTGTCAGGCGGGGATGGGGGGCTCCGTCCCTCAGCCCTGCTGCCGGGACCCCTCATGTGACCCACCGCCCCTTTCGGGGCCATCTCTGCCCTCTGGCCCCCGCAGCCCCACTCTCCTCAGCTCTCACTGCCTGTCTTTCCATCCTAGTTCTCTCTCTCCTACGAAGGCTTCTTTCTGCTTCCTGGAAGCCTCTATTATTGGCAGCTGCCCCAGGCCTTCCTGGGGGACAAGGTAAAGAGGAGTTGGGGGTCATAGAAGCCGAACACACCAAAGGGCCCTTTGTCAAAGCTCTTTATGACACACATGAGTAGACTGAGGCCCACGGTGGGGAAGGGACTTCTCTGAGGTCCCGTGTTCAAGTCAAAGCACACCTGAGACTGAACTCGGCTTGGCCCTCAGCCAACGCCTAGCCCCTGGCCCCTGGCCTCTGTCTCACAGGGGTTAGTTTCTCCAGCACCTCCCTTCTGGGCTTATTTTACCCTGTGTCCAAATCTCTGGCCTAGTTCTTGGTACTGCACTCATTTGTTTGCGAAGCATTAATTAGGCACTAACTGTGTGCTGTATCATGCGCAGGCAGAAACAGGCCCTGGAGGCCCAGAGCTCACTGCTCCTCTGGTTCTCATTCCTTCATGATCTGCAGCAACACTGTTATTATCACAAGCATTGGCGCTGGCATCAGACAAGCATTGGTACTGCCTCCATACTGTTCCAAAACAATGTAGAAGGCCTTTGGGAATACACATAACATGGCTGGGCATGCTGGCTCATGCTTGTAATCCCAGCACTTTGGGAGGCTAAGTGAAAAGATTGTCTGAGGCCTGGAGTCTGAGACCAGCTTGGGCAGCTTAGCAATATTCCATCTCTACAAAAAGAAAAGAAAAGGACACATGTAATATGTAGTAAAATAATATTCAGAGAAGTAGGCCAGACAGTTAGCAGGGGGGTGAGGCTGAGTAGAGATCAGCTGGAGCCAAAGTTGGGGCTGGAAGAGTCACAGGCATTGAGCATGTTCTTGGCCCTGTGCTGAGTGCATCCTGAGTGTGTCCTGTGTTTCTTAGTCCTCATGATACCCTTCAGGGCAGTTATGATGTTCACCCCTATTTCCATATGGGGAAAGTGGGACTCAGAGAGAGTGGATGACTTGTCCAAGGCTGTACAGCCAAGAGAGCTGGGCTTTGAACCTAAGTCTTTGAGACTGCAGAGTTTGCCTCCTTAATCACTATGCTGTACATGCCTATGACTTGCTAGAAAGTTGGTTTGAGACATGGCCGTGAACTTGCTGGCATCCAAAGCAAACAGGAAACCAGTCGTTTTGTGGTTCTTTGGTTATGCTCCTGAATTCCTCACCACACCCTGAGCTTGTGGTGAACACCCCCAGGGTCTGTGCAGCCCAGGGCCTGGTGTATAGTCAGTAGGTGTTTGAAAAATACTCACTCACTAAATGAACACACAAATGAGGGCAGACCTGATGCTGTGTGGTATTAAGCTGAACGGCTGTCCTGGTGGCAGAGGGGAGAAAGGAAAGTCCTGTGGAGCAGAGCTGGGGCCTCTGATGCCTACGTGGAAGTCCCCTGTGACAAGCATGGGGACGCTTCAGTTGTGAGCAGCAGAAACCCCAGGTCCAGCTGGCTTATCTGCAACAAGCAATCTGTTGGTTCAGGCAGCGGCAGAGTCCAAGAGTATTGCTGGTATCAGGCATGGCTGGCTCTAGGGGCTCCCTGTGGCTTTATCTTGGTTGGCGTTGTTTTCCAGCTTCTGACTGGAGAAAGGGGTCCCTCTGTCCCAGCAGAAGTGCCTGGGTCATTTGCCTATCATGGGGTGGTGAGGGACCGTGGCAGGATGTGCACACTGGCCAGGCCCTAGCTCACATCTTCATCGTAGGGAAGAGGGGAGTGGCCCCTTGAGACCACATGGTGTGGGAATGGTCGTCCTTTAGTGGAAACAGGATATGGTTTGCAAGAAGAGGGAATTGAAGTCTGGGCAAAGAAAACCCACCTGCCCAGGAGACGAGGCCTCTGAGGGGCTGCTTGCAGCCCCAGCCCTGTGACTGAGAGCTTTAAACCTCCTGCAACACCCCTGTGATGGTCACTGTCATTGCCCCATCTGCTTTATGGGAAAATCCTGTACATGAAAAGAAACTTGGAGCTTGTTTGCCAAGTCGTCAGGCAGTGGAGAATGGGGAACCACAGAACAGAAAAGAGGCGGCTGGAGGTCATCACCGCCATATCTGAGGCTGTGGAGGGACCCAGAGATGTCCTGTTTCCCAGGCAGCCACAGGCCATGCAGCCTGGCTTCTCGGTTTGGGGATGGGGGAGGCAGTACCTGTACAGAAATGCATCCAGAGGCTCCACCCCTCACCATGTGCTCAAACCGAGTTAGCCTGTGACCTCCAGGCTTGCCCTTTGCAGGTGGCGGCCTATGGCGGGAAGCTGCGTTACACCCTCTCCTACACAGCAGGACCGCAGGGCGGCTCGCTCTCCGACCCTGACATCCAGATCACAGTGAGCACTGGGACTCCACTCCGTCAGGCAGAGAGGCAGGATGGAAGCCAGGGCACTCCCAGCATCTGTCCTGACTGTCCAGTGTTCACTTGGCCTGGTGTGGGCTGGGGGGCTTAGGCCCGTGCCCCTACCCCACTGCCTGGTTGGACACTCCTGGGGCAGGGGTCTGGCTGCTGGGAGGAGGGGGCAGCAGGCGTGTGCCCAGCTCTTTTGGCCACATGAGTTTGGGAGGGCAGAGTGATAGGAGGCTGAGTGTTAGAGAGCATCTGGATAGGGGAGGGTCCCTTGGCCCCCTCAAGAGCCCCTCGGTTCCCTTCCCAAACCCGCTGGTGTCTTCTCAGGGCAACAACATCATGCTGGTGGCCTCCCAGCCAGCGCCGCAGGGCCCCGAGAGGAAGAGCTATGAGATCGTTTTCCGAGAGGTGAGGGCACATGGCTGCACATGCCTTATCCCACCCCACCCTCCACCCGGATGGGGAGCCTGGCTTTGAGGCCCACCCTGCCTCTTGCTCCCTTCCCACCCCTCACAGCCCCTGGGCCAGCACCCGGCAGGCAGGAGGGAGTGGGGCCACAGAAGCAGCCCACAAAGCCCCCCCGCAGTGCCCCCACCCACATTTGCTGTCCCCCCGACCCAGGAGTTCTGGCGCCGGCCCGATGGACAGCCAGCCACACGTGAGCACCTCCTGATGGCCCTGGCTGACCTGGACGAGCTTCTGATCCGAGCCACATTCTCCTCAGTGCCACTGGCAGCCAGCATCAGCGCGGTCAGCCTGGAAGTGGCACAGCCCGGGCCCTCCGATGGACCCCGGGCCCTCGAGGTGGAGGAGTGTCGCTGCCCCCCAGGCTATGTTGGCTCGTCCTGCCAGGTGAGCGTGTGGCCGCCCCGGCTGCCTCTGCACAGGTCCAGCGGCATCACCACGGCCTGTGGTTACTGTCATCACTTCAGTGACCTCTTACATCAACATCAGGTCATTTATTTCTCCCCATAACCCTGAGATACATATAATTATCCACTTTAACAGATACAAAAATAGAGGTGCTAGGCTAGGTATGGTGGCTCATACCTGTAATCCCAGCACTTCAGAAAGCTGAGGCAGGAGGATCACTTGACACCAGGAGTTTGAGACCTGGGCAACCCCATGAAAGGGACCCCGTGTCTCCAAAAAATAAAATTAAAAAAAACTAACCGGGCGTGGCAGTACATGCCTGTAGTCCCAACTACCGAGGAGGCTGAGGCAGGAGATTTGCCTGAGCCCAGGAGGTTGAGGCTGCAGTGAACTATGATCTCCCCACTGCATTCCAGCCTGGGTGATAGAGTCAGACCCTGTCTCTTAAAAAAAATAGAGGTACTGAGGAATGAGTGACTCGCCCAAGGGCACACAACTAATGTGTGGCAGAAACGAATTTGAACTCAGGTCTGATGGACTCAGAGCCCAGCATGTTCTAACCACTGGGCAGTGCTGACCCAAGCATGGGCCACACTCTCAGAGTTTAAGTCCCAGCTGGTACACTGGGGTGCACTGGGGTGCCCTCTAGAGACAAGGAGACAATCCAGAAATACACAGGACTCCAGCTCAAAGCAGGGCATGGTCGTACTTCTGGGAGGGAGTCAGTGTGGACTGGGCCAGGCCTGTGGAGTGGAGGTCAGACTGAGCAGAGGCCCTGGAGTAGAGATGTGTGGGGAACCAGCCTGTGGTCCGGCAGGGTCACCCCAGGAAGATGCAGGAGAGGATGAGGACAGGGTCCAGGATTGCTGACTCTGAATGGGCCCGCTGGGAACAGAGACTGACCTTCCTCTCTGCCTGCAGGATTGCGCCCCCAGCTACACGCGCACTGGGAGTGGGCTCTACCTCGGCCACTGTGAGCTGTGCGAATGCAACGGCCACTCGGACCTGTGCCACCCAGAGACCGGTGCCTGCTCGGTGAGCTGCAGCTAAGGCTGGGCAAGGGGCAGCTTGGCCGAGCCTGCGTGGGGGACCAGGGCTGGGCAAGGTGGGTCTCACCTCAGGGGCCGGGCAGTGGGGCACAGCCTGTGGGTCAAAGCTCCTGGGCCAGCAGGCCAGGTCACCGGGCACAGTAGGGTGGCCAGAGCTGTGGAACAGCACCCTTCTTTGTAAAGAAAACTCTGGTTCTTACTATTTTTTATCACCGAAGTGACACATGTTCTCAGTAGAGGAATCAGACTAAAGAAGAAACCAAAAAAGAAAGTAGAAATCCCCTGCAGGCCCCCTACCTGGAGGAATCACTGTCAACAGGAGAGTACATACATGTTAGTGTGCTTTTAGGCCAGGTGCAGTGGCTCATGTTTGTAATCCCAGCACTTTGGGAGACCAAGGCCAGAGGATTGCTTAAGGCCAGGAGTTTGAGACCAGCCTGGGTCACATAGCAAAACCTCATTTCTAAAAAAAAAAGAAAGAAAAAAAAAAATTAGGCATGGTAGCATGTGACTATAGTCCCAGCTACCTGGAAGGCTAAGGTGAAGGATCGCCTAAGCCCAGGAGGTTGAGACTGCGGTAGGCTGTCATCGTGCCTCTGCACTCCAGCCTGGGAAACAGAGTGAGACCCCTAACTCAAAAAAAAAAAGAAAGAAAGTAGAAATCCCTGAAATTCCCCACCTAGAAGAATCACTGTCAACAGCAGAGTAGGGAGTCTCCTTCCCCCTTTTTGGGCAAATATGCACACCTGTTAATATGCTTTTCATTTTACACATAGCATGGCATCATTGCATTGGTAATCAGCTCTCTCTCCCTACTAGTTCCTGAACACCTTTCATATCATTACATATTTTTTGTATACCTGAATTTTTCAGAGAAGTGTATGTATAACCCTGTGGGCACATGGTCCAGGGCCGGGTGGCTGACGGAGCCACAAGCTAAACTTGGAGCAAGAAACACACTACATTGATGTAACCAACATGAGTCTCTTAGGAGGAGCATATGTAACATGCATGTTTTTGTGATGAGCATATATTTTCAAAGCTCTGTCCCCAAGTAAGTTTCCTTTGATGTTACAGGCATTAAGATAGACAAATGTAGGAAATATAACCAGCATCATCCTTTCAGATAGCTATTAGGGTGGGTGTGCTTTTTAATCTCTCCCATTCCCTATTCGTGGATGTTTAGGTTGGTTTCCGGCATTTTGCTTTTATAAACACCACTGGGATGAATATCCCTGTTTTGACATCTTTGTGTTCTTCAATGACTATTTCTTTAAGTTCATGGACTTGGGACTGCTAGATCAGGAGATCGCAACATTGAAAGGCTTTTGGTAAATCTTGCCAAGTAGCAGATGTCTGACATACTTGTGCCCTGCAGCAATGCCAGCACAACGCCGCTGGGGAGTTCTGTGAGTTGTGTGCTCCTGGCTTCTACGGAGATGCCACAGCCGGGACGCCTGAGGACTGCCAGCCCTGCGCCTGCCCACTGACCAACCCAGAGAACATGTGAGTGCCCTTGCTCAAGCCCCAAGGACAGACTCCCACTGGGGGATGGAGGGCACTGTGCTAGCTTTCGGATAGAAGCAGAGGCAGCAGGATGGGGAGTGGGCTTCCTGTGACCTGATCTTTGCCTCTGTGACCCAGGTTCTCCCGCACCTGTGAGAGCCTGGGAGCTGGGGGGTACCGCTGCACAGCCTGCGAACCTGGCTACACGGGCCAGTACTGTGAGCAGTAAGTTTGCCAACAGGAGGGGGAGGGGAGGGGGATAAATGGTAGACTCCTGGGTGAGAGCCCTAAATGATGTTGCTCATAAAAGTCTTTATCAAGATGATGTTCTCCCCTTGCTCAGAACCCTCCTTAGACTTCACGTTACCCTTAAAACAAGCCCAAGCTCCTTAGGCAGCCTTACCATGCTTCTATCTTGTCCCACTTCTGACACCCAACTCTGTACTCTAGCTGGGCTTAACTTTTTTAATTCATGGTGTTCAGGTCTCGCATGTGCTAGTCCCTCTGCATGGAACATTCTTCACCCCCAGACCTCCCCTTTCTGGCTAACTTCTGCTTAGCCTTCAAGACTCAGCTTCATTCCCTCATTCAGCCACTTTCTCTCGAGTGTCTGCTGGGAGCTTAGCTGTGTGCTAAGGTATTGGAGATAAAGTGGTAAACACAGTAGCTTCCAGCCCAGCCCTTATGGAGTCTATTGCCTGTAGGAGGAGACAAGGCAGGGGAAAAGTAAATCATGCAAATATATATTTACAAGCTACAATAAGTTCTCTGACAGAAGAGTACTGCCTGCCCCAAGGTAACACAGCAGCTCAGAATTTGCATCCTCTAGGAAGCCTCCCTGACTCTCAGGGCTGGATTCATGCCTCCCTTGGTGCTCTCACAGCCCTGATATGCTTCCCTCCCTCTCATATAAATAGAGTTTCTGTGTTGGGTTCCCAGCTAGTAAGCTCCACAAGACCAGAGACTTCATCCTGTTTACTATTGTGTTATTTCCAAACCCAGCATGATGCCTGGCACATCGTAGTTGCTTAATAAACGTTTGTTGCATGAATGTTTCCTGGAGAATAAAGGCCATGCTCCTTCATCACCCTGCCTGCTCACACTCCCTTACATGCCCCTTTCTCAAAATGCCCTGTGTCGGGGCCTCTCTGGTCCCCAAAGTGCTTCCAGAGTTCTGAGCCGCCTTACCCCATACTGGGCAGCCGGCTGAGCTTCTGGCTCTCCAAGTCCATCTAGAGGCAGTGAGTCCCTTGGGGCCTGACAGAGCTGGTCCTTGTTGCCCCTTACAGGTGTGCCCCAGGTTACGTGGGTAACCCCAATGTGCAAGGGGGCCGGTGCCTGCCACAGAGTAAGTGGGACCATGGCCCAGGGTGGGGGTGATGGGCAAGGCAGGGAGCCTCAGGAGTTTGGGGGACACTGGGTCTGGGGACAGGGCTGAGGTTGGGGCACTCCGGTCTTTGGGAGAGCCAAGATATCTGAGGCTGTGCTGCATGCTGGAGCCTCCTGTCTGAATGGCTCCTCCTGCCCCCACCCCACCCCCAGCAAACCAAGCCCTGCTAGTGGTCCAGGTCCATCCTGCTCGGAGCGTAGTGCCCCAGGGTGGCCCCCACTCCCTGCGGTGCCAGGTCAGTGGGAGCCCACCCCACTACTTCTACTGGTCCCGTGAGGATGGGCGGCCCCTGCCCAGCAGCACACAGCAGCGACATCAAGGTACCCATGGCCCTGGCTCCACAGCCCCATGAGCCACTGTCCCTGCCCTGCCAGGGTCCTGCCCTTGCGCGTGGGACTGGGTGGGAGAAGGGTACATCCGCATTGTCAACCCCTCCCCTCACCAGGCTCCGAGCTCCACTTCCCCAGCGTCCAACCCTCAGATGCCGGGGTCTACATCTGCACCTGCCGCAATCTCCACCATGCCAATACCAGCCGGGCAGAGCTGCTCGTCACTGGTGAGTCCCTGCTGCCCCTGTCCCTAGGACTGCCTGTCCCGGGCCGGCTGCAGACTGCAGACTCTGGCAGATGGTGCATTCCCCCGCCGAAAGGGGGCAGTCGGCACCTAGACAAGGGCAGGACCATGAAGGTGAGGTGAGGTGATGGATTCAAGATCTGGTTTAGAGGCAGAATGGGCAGGACTTGACTGTGGTCAGTGAGAGCAAAAGGAAAGGTTGGTGGTGTCCAGGGGTCTGGTTGCTGGCATCTGGGTAAATGGGGTGCCATTGACTGAGGGACTCTCCAATAGGTGGGTGTCCTTCATTCAGGTTCCCCTAGATACAGAATCTGGAACAAGGGGTTGCAAGCAAGAGGGTAAAGTGAGGCAGGGAAGGGAAGGTAGCCAGCACAGGGTATGTGATCAGGCAAATCATTGCCATGGCGGCTACAGAAGTTCTGGGAGCCATGTGAAGCATGCACCTTAGAGTCACCCTGCCCTGGGGTCCTGTCTGCCATTGACCAAGGCCTATCCTGGAGGCATCCACTCCCCTGCACGTCTGCTCCACCCACCAGCACACACAGTAGTCTCCAGAGGCCTGAGAAAGGGCTCGTGGAGAGAAGTGCCAGGGTCAGCAGATCAGGCAGACGGGCACCAGCAGCACGGGCTCCACATAGATCCTCTGACCCCAAGTCAGATGGCAAGTTTGGTTTGGCCTGGTCAAGGTCTGAGAGGCTTGGGAAGTTGTCCAGGTGGGCCCGTTGGGCAGGCATTCAGACAGGTGAGTCTGCACTCAGGGGCCCTGGCCAGAGAAAGGGATGATGTTAAAGTCATGGGGCAGGATGAAGTCACCAGGGAGTGGGGCTGGAGGGCAGGGCCCCGAGTGCCCCGGGGGGTGCCCGTTGAAGAGGAGGGCAGGAAAGGACTGCAGGGGAGGAGAGCGGGGAGGCTGGCGTGGAGGGAGTGGGAGGGGAAGGGCCTCCAGGAGAACGAGGCCAGCCTCTCCAGCTGGAAGTCAGAGAAGGGCAGAAAAATAACCCTTGGAGGTGGTGCTCTGACGGAGCGGCATTCAGGGAGAGAAGGGGCAGAAACCAGACTGGAGCGAGGTAAAGAATGGATGGAAGGCAGCACATGTAGACAACTCTTGCAAGAGTCTTAGCTCCGAAGGAAGGCCAAGACAGGGGCATGGCTGGGAGCAGGAGGCCGAGGGGGAGTCTTCAGAAATGGCAAGTTCTGGAACACACGTGTCTGTGGAGCAGAATGACCCCATGAGAGGGAGAGGAGAGGCTGGGGCAGCAGGAGAGGGAGGATGGCCTTGGGAAGGGGTACAGGGGTGGAGCTGGGAGCGGGAGGAGGGCTCCATCCCTCAGGGACCAGGATGGAGGGAGGGGGTGGACTTGGGAAAATGGGAAAATTTCTGCCTTGTGGTTTCTGTTTTCCCAAGGAGCGTGAGTGGGAGCCATCGGGTTTGAATGGGGAAGGGTGATCAGGGAGGCCGAGGAGATGGGAGGAGGTGTGAAATAGCTGCTGGGGAGGCTGGAAACTCAAACCAGATGGAGAGACCCAGTAGGAGGACGTGTGAAGGGCTCAGAGCTCAAGTGTGGCCTGTGATCACTAACTGAGCCAAGGGGACACGTGGCAGGTTGCTCCCGTGGGCCACTATGCCAGAGAGGAGACGGGATGGGTACTGAGCTGGACCAAGAGGGATGTGATATCCAGAGGAGGTGAAGGAGAGTGAGAATGTGGCCACAGGCCAGAGGCCTGGCCAGTACCAACTCATGAGGCTTCTGTCCCCAGAGGCCCCAAGCAAGCCCATCACGGTGACAGTGGAGGAGCAGCGGAGCCAGAGTGTGCGCCCCGGAGCTGATGTCACCTTCATCTGCACGGCCAAGAGCAAGGTGTGTAGGGCAGGGAATGAGGTGGGGTGTGGACATCGCCAAGCCCCACATAACCTTGCCCCGCCCTACCCCTCATTCTGCAGTCTCCAGCCTACACCCTGGTATGGACACGACTGCACAACGGAAAGCTGCCAGCCCGGGCCATGGACTTCAACGGCATCCTGACCATCCGCAACGTCCAGCTGGGTGATGCGGGCACCTATGTGTGCACCGGTTCCAACATGTTCGCCATGGACCAGGGCACAGCCACACTGCACGTGCAGGGTACGTCCCCCGCTACACCTGACCCTCTGCCCCCAGCTTTGCCCCTGCTCTCCGGGGCCAGCATGCCATTTCTCCATTCAGTCGGCCATTTCTGAGCACCTACTGCGTGCCTGGCCCAGTCTAGGCTCCAGGGTAGCAGAGGAGAGGAGGACACACAGATCTCGGCCCCCATGGAGTACATGCTCTGGTTGGGAGAAGTACACATGACGTGAGTGCCAGGCTAGGAAGAAACAGTGATGAGGAAGCAAGAGACGAGGCAGAAGAAGGGTGGCACAGGCAAAGGCCCTGAGGCAGGAGCAAGTTGCTGTGTTTAAGGAACAGCAAAGCCCACGTGGTTGTGGCTGTGGGAGGAAGGGGACCTTGAAGATGTAGGCAGAAGTGAGGGCAAACAGGACGCAGTGGGTCGGAGTAGGGAGTTGAGATTTTGTTCTAAAAGCAATAGGGAGTCATGGGGAGGTCTTCGTGGGAAAGTCGTAAGGTCCTCTTGATGTCTGCAAGGCTTACTCTGGCTTCCATGTGGACAGATGGCCACGGAAGCAGAGAGAGTGGCAAAGGAGGCTGCTGGGCTCAGACGCCATTCCCTACCCTGACCCCGTGTCTCTCTCCCCTTCCAGCCTCGGGCACTTTGTCTGCCCCCGTGGTCTCCATCCACCCCCCACAGCTCACAGTGCAGCCGGGACAGCTGGCCGAGTTCCGCTGCAGTGCCACGGGCCACCCCACGCCCACCCTCGAGTGGACAGGTGAGGCTGTGTTGGCCATGACATCAGGGCTTGGCTCTCCTGGGTGTGGGTGGGGGCAGGACTCTGGGCTGTGGCATGACAGTGCCAGTCCCAGTGGGTGCTGACCTTGCATCTCTCATCAGGGGGCCCTGGCAACCAGCTGCCTCCAAAGGCACAAGTCCACGGTGGCATCCTGCACCTGCCAGCTGCCGAACCCTCAGATCAAGGCCAGTACCTGTGCCGAGCCCACAGTAGCGCTGGGCAGCAGGTGGCCAGGGCTGTTCTCCACGTGCATGGTGAGTGACCAGGCTGTGGGCGGGGGCTGGGGAACAGCGGCAGCCCACAGGGTGGTCTCACAGGACTCTGTCTGCAGGAGGCAATGGACCCAGGGTCCAGGTGAGCCCAGAGAGGACCCAGGTGCAGGAAGGCCGCACCGTCAGGCTGTACTGTAGGGCAGCAGGTGTGCCCAGTGCCACCATCACCTGGAGGAAGGAAGGGGGCAGCCTCCCCCCGCAGGTGAGGAGACAGGGCCCACCCTGGCCCACAGGTTTAGCAGAGAGGCCCAGCACTGAGCACTGGCCACCCTCCCTCCTTCCTCTCCCTGTCCCACACCATCTCCTCCTCCCTGACTCCCTTCACTTCCAAGGTAGCAGCCTGCCTAGACTGCATATGGCCCCTGTTGTTTTGCCCTTCTGCGTGCCTCTCTGGACCCTGATATTGGCTCTGTGCTTGCCTTTCCTTTGTGTGCCTCGCCCACCCCCCCCCCCCCCCCCCCCCGGCTCACCCTTGCCTGGCTGCCTCTCAAGTGCTAACCCTTCTCATCATGTGGTAGGCCCGGTCCGAGCGCACAGACATCGCCACGCTACTCATTCCAGCTATCACCACCGCAGATACTGGCTTCTACGTCTGCGTGGCCACCAGCCCCGTGGGCACCGCCCAGGCCCGGATTGAAGTGGTCGTTCTTCCAGGTGCGGGGCCTCTGGGGCCAGAGGGAGTCGGGGGGACAAACCAGGGCTCCCCTGAGGTCTGCTAATCCCCCTCTGGCCCCAGCCTCAGGTGCCAGCATACCGCCAGTCAGGATTGAGTCCTCGTCACCTTCAGTGACGGAAGGGCAGACACTCGACCTCACTTGCGTGGTAGCAGGGTCAGCGCATGCCCAGGTCACCTGGTACAGACGTGGGGGCAGCCTGCCTCCCCACACCCAGGTATGAGGGTCCCTGAGCTCCTGGGGGTGCAGAAGCTCTGGCTGGGGAGGTCTGTGCCCAACTGAGGCCACACACAGCTCACAGCCTCCACCAAGCCTCATCGTCCTCTCCCTCCTTCCCAGGTCTGGCATGGATGGCTCAGAGCAGGGCCAGGGAGAGTTTGATGAGTGAATCACTGAGGCTCAGAGGCGGTGGTGACTGTGCCCCATCCCATCCTCATATACCTCTGTCCCTATTGTCCAGGTCCATGGTTCCCGGCTGCGGCTCCCACAGGTCTCTCCGGCCGACTCCGGAGAATACGTGTGCCGTGTGGAGAATGGCTCGGGCCCCAAGGAGGCCACCATTGTTGTCTCTGTCCTCCACGGCACCCATTCGGGCCCCAGCGCCACCCCAGGTGAGGATCCAGGTGGGGCTGGGCAGGACCAGGCCTAGGACCCCTTGCTGCTCCCCGGGAAGGTGCCAGTGGCCTTTCCAGAGGCATCAGTTCTAGGCAGGCTTTGACCCTGCAGTGCCTACTTGGGGTGGGGGGCGGACAGAGCCAGGGGTTAAGGCAGGCTCAAGCCCCGTGTGAGGGTCCCATGTCAGAATCTGTCAGGAAGCAGCAATGTCCAGGTTGGATGTTGAATTGGGGGTCAAGCTGACCTAGGTTCAAATCCCAGCTCTGTCTCTTATCAGCCTTGATCTAGTTTTTACTTCTGGGGCCTCAGATTCCTCATCTATGAAATGGGGCAATGGCCACCCACCTGCTTGGTCATGCGTGGTTTAAATGAGATGGTGTCAACAGGTGGTACTTGTGGGCATAGGATAAGCACTCTCTAGAAGGAAGTTGTGCTGTTGTCTGCATCTGTGAACCCGGCCTGGGCAGTAAAGGCCTCTGATTTCCTGCATGCTAGAGAAGTTTTTTGTCAAGAAGTCATGGGTGGGCAAATAGGCCTCCAGCTCCCAGTTAAAGGTAGGGGAGAGAAAGAGGCACCCTTAGCTGGCCTTGCTGAGGTGGAAGAGTATGGTCCCAACCCCAAAATGGCCGCCTGTAGCCCTCCTAAGCTAGGGCCTGGTCAGATCCCAGGGCCCGCTGTCCCAGGGCTCAGTCTGCAACTTGAGGCCCAGGCCTCTGACCATTCCCTCTGTGTCCAGCACCCAGCGGCACCCAGCCCATCCGCATCGAGTCCTCCTCCTCACAAGTGGCTGAGGGACAGACCCTGGACCTGAACTGTGTGGTGCCCGGGCAGACCCATGCCCAGGTCACATGGCACAAGCGCGGGGGCAGCCTTCCCACCCGGCACCAGGTATGGCAGCCCCCAGGGCCAGCCCGCTGGAGGAGGTGGATGGTGCTTCTCCAACCTTTCTTACCCCACCCTGTTTGCATACAGACCCACGGCTCGCTGCTGCGGCTACACCAGGTGTCCCCTGCCGACTCAGGCGAGTATGTGTGCCGCGTGTCCATTGGTGCTCAGCACCTGGAGACTTCCATCCTGGTCACCATCGAGCCCTCTGGCTCCATCCCTGGTGAGTGGTTCCCAGGGGCATAGAAAGCTGAAAAGGCAGAGAGCTCCCCAGGGTGGTCCAGTCCACATGACCCCATTGCTGCCAGGACAGGAGGCCACGCTGAACTGGCCATGGCTGGCTCAGGCAGGCTCCACTTGTCTGGGCAACTACCATCTTCCTCACACGTCTCTTTGGCCAAGCCACTGTCTCCTCTTCCTCTCTCCCAGTCGCCACTATCCCATCTCTCTCACTTCCTTGCTCCCTTCTGCAAGGCTTGGCCCATGCCCTGATCCTCCCCTCCAGGTGGCTGAGCTGACACCAAGCCCAGGGCACCAGACCCACAAACACATAGGCCTGGCCTCAGAACCCCAGGCAGAGCCAGCTCCAGGGCAGACAGCCCCTACCCTCTCTTCCGGGAGCATCCACGACCCTCACTCCTGTACCCACAGCCCCAGGACCTGTACCACCTGTCAGAATTGAGTCCTCATCCTCCACGGTGGCCGAGGGGCAGACCCTGGATCTGAGCTGTGTGGTGGCCGGGCAGGCCCATGCCCAGGTCACGTGGTACAAGCGCGGGGGCAGCCTCCCTGCCCGGCACCAGGTACACCACCCCAGGAACGTAGGAAGGGGCCACGGATGGTGGGCTGTGGGGGTCCTGGCCCCAACTGGGAAGTTGGCACTTCCCAGTTCAGGGGGCAGGGGACGGGGCGGGCCATCTGCTGGTCTCCCGGAAGCCCTCCTCATACGCCTGCCCTTGCTGCCAGGTCCGTGGCTCCCGCCTGTACATCTTCCAGGCTTCGTCTGCCGACGCAGGGGAGTATGTCTGCCGGGCCAGCAATGGCGTGGAGGCCTCCATCACAGTCACAGTCACCGGGACCCAGGGGGCCAACTTTGCCTACCGTGAGTGGGGCCCCAGGCTGGGATGCAGAAAGAGGACAGGTGGGGGCAGCTTCCGAGGACTGGAGTGACCGGTGGCTGTCTCATCCCCCAGCACCTGGCAGCACCCAGCCCATCCGCATCGAGCCCTCCTCCTCACACGTGGCTGAGGGGCAGACCCTGGATCTGAACTGCGTGGTGCCTGGGCACGCCCACGCCCAGGTCATGTGGCACAAGCGTGGGGGCAGCCTCCCCGCCCGGCACCAGGTATGGGACTGGAGAATGGGACAGGCCAAGAAGAAGAGGAGTAGGAGAGGTCATGGGGGGGTGGGCTGGAGGCCACTCTGAGACAGGGAAGACCTTGAACCCATTGGACTAGTGTATGGTATAGTGGGTAGAACCCAGAACCTGGGACTGGCCAGCCTAGGGGTAAATTCTGGTTTCCCCACTTCTTACTTGTGGCCTTGGGCAAGTTATTTAGCTTCTCTGTGCCACAGTTCCAGCACCTATGAAATGGTAACAACAGCACCTGCCTTACAGAATTGTCTTCTAGATTCAGTTAATTCATACACATGCAGAGTGCTCAGAGCTTAGGTGGCTAGAAAGTGCTCTAGCTGTTCATATTACTATAATACTGTCAGTTATTATTATTACTGTACATTATAGAATTCAGGATACCATGATTGTAACACGCACCATTATTTTCTGTGCCTCTAAGGAAAAAAACTTCCATTTATAACTGTGAGAGTAGTCACTGTAGATGCATCCAGACACTGAAGTGTGTGTCTAGAATTGATGGGATGAGGTGTGAGTGTGTGCCTGTCTCACCAGATTCCTCCGGCCCACGCCCCAACTCCTGGACAAGAGCTGTCCTCTTCCCACCATGGGGCAGGACAGAGAAACTGATCCTAACCAGGCAGGCAGGCCCTGGGAGTCAGAGAGTGAGGCAGGGCTGCATGCGACTGACCAGTGTTGGGGCTCCCTGAGGGCTCCCTCTGACCCACCTCCATTCTGGCCAGACCCACGGCTCCCTGCTGAGACTAAACCAGGTGTCCCCGGGCGACTCAGGCGAGTACGTGTGCCGAGTGGTGGGTGGCTCCGTGCCCCTGGAGGCCTCCGTCCTGGTCACGATTGAGCCTGCGGGCTCTGTGCCTGGTAAGTAGCTCTGGAGGAGGGTGGGACTCCCGGGGAAGGTCCCCACTCCGGCCACAGCAGGACCAGGAGGCCATGCCTTGGGCTGCACTTGCCGTGAGACCAATAGTCCTGTCTCTTTCACCTCCCAACCAGGAGTTGACCTTCTGTCCTCTGTCCCCAGCACTCGGGGTCATCCCCCCGGTCCGGATTGAGTCGTCTTCCTCACACGTGGCAGAAGGACAGACCCTGGATCTGAACTGCCTCGTTGCTGGGCAGGCCCATGCCCAGATCACGTGGCATAAGCGTGGGGGCAATCTCCCCGCCCGGCACCAGGTAGGAGGCAGGCGCTAAGGAGGTCCTGAAGGACCCTGCAAGTGCAGGACAGAGAGCACAGGCTTTGAATTCATGCTGCTGTGCCACTTGCCTGCTGTGTGACCTTAGGCCAGTCACTTGACTCCTTGACCCTTAGTGTCCTAATCTATCAATTGGGCTCACCTACCCACCTCACCTACCCTGTAGCATGTCAGCAAATGCTGTTCCCCCAGTTTTCCCTGGTGCCAAGTCTTGGCAGTCCCTGGCATGGGAGAGGTAGCCAGCTAGACAGACCCAGTCCCCACCCTAGGGCAGAAGAAATGAGAGAAGGTGGCTCTCCCCAGAAGGGCTTCCATCAAGCTCTAGCTGGCTGGGCCTGGGGCCAGGGGGGCCAGTAAAAGGGATAGGAGTCTGGCCCTCGCACCCAGCTCTGAGCCTGCCTTCCCCCTTCTGTCCCTCCCAGGTACACAACTCCAGGCTGCGGCTGCTCCAGGTGACCCCAGCCGACTCCGGAGAGTATGTGTGCCGTGTGGTCAGCAGCTCGGGCACCCAGGAAGCCTCGGTCCTTGTCACCATCCAGCAGCGCTTTGGTGGCTCCCACCGTGAGTATCTTGGGGATCACACAAAGGGCAAAGGGCTGCTGTAGGCCCCCTCCACCCTTAGTGATTCCCATGCCCTGCCTTCCGTCTCACCCTCCCAGCCCAGAGCGTGGTGTACCCTGTCCGTATTGAGTCTTCCTCCGCCTCCTTGGCCAATGGACATACCCTGGACCTCAACTGCCTGGTTGCCAGCCAGGCCCCCCACACCATCACCTGGTATAAGCGTGGAGGCAGCTTACCCAGCAGGCACCAGGTACAGAGCCAGCGGGCAGGGAGGGCAAAGGCAGGGCACACTGGCTTTGATGGGAAGTAGGGGGTGGGTTGCAGTACCTTGCTCTGTGCTCATTCAGTCATTCAACAAACATTGAACATCCCTGATGGATGGGCCCTGGATGGGTGCTGAGGATAGAGCTCAGTCCTACTGATGTACTGATTTCCCTGAGAAGGTGCTCCTGGCCAAGTCCTGTGCCTGACACTGCGAATTCCGGGTGGGATAAAAGCTGTCTAACTTCAGGAAGCTGAGTCTATGGGAGCCCCAGCAGGATCCTGTGTCAGCACCGGGGAGGGCCTCTGCAGCTTTCTAGAGGGATGACAAAAGACCAGAGGCCCTGTCCACCCAACCTAGAGATAGGTAGGAGCCTCAGGAAGGCCGCTGAGGGCCGGGGGCCGCACCAGGTGAGGCAGGGAGGCTCCCAGGGTCCATAGCAGCGGCAGTTCCCGAGACGTGGAGGTGCTGCCCCCACCCACGGACACCTGCTTCCCCCAGATCGTGGGCTCCCGGCTGCGGATCCCTCAGGTGACTCCAGCAGACTCAGGCGAGTACGTGTGTCATGTCAGTAATGGTGCTGGTTCCCAGGAGACCTCTCTCATCGTCACCATCCAGGGCAGCGAGTCCTCCCACGGTGAGTGCATGGAGGGCAGGAGTCCAGCAAAACATGCAGGGGAAACCAGAGAGACCCTTGGTCTGGCACTGTTGTCTGACTCTGGCTTTGTGGTCTGTCCCTCTGTCCCCAGTGCCCAGCGTGTCCCCACCAATCAGGATCGAGTCCTCGTCCCCCACCGTGGTGGAAGGGCAGACCTTGGATCTGAACTGCGTGGTGGCCGGGCAGCCCCAGGCCATCATCACATGGTATAAGCGCGGGGGCAGCCTTCCCACCCGACATCAGGTACAGAGTAGAGCCGGGCAGGGGGTGCGACCCTGGTCTCCTGGGGGGCAATGCAGTGACAGCCCACGGGCTCCTTATCTCAGTCGGCTGGGCCCCGGGTGGACGGAAGCCAGCCTCAGTGGGTCTGACAAGGGAGGCCCAGGCCAGCTGGTGACTCCATGGCCCCTCGACCCCCTCTCCTTCCCCATCCACCCAGGCCCACGGTTCCCACCTGCGATTACACCAAATGTCTGTGGCAGACTCAGGCGAGTACGTATGCCGGGCCAACAACAACATCGATGCCCTGGAGACCTCCATCATGGTCTCGGTCTCCCCCAGTACCGGTAGCCCCTCCGGTGAGTCCGACAGAGACCTGGGTAAGGGACAAGGGACATAGGTAACTGTGTTCCCTGGGAAGCAGGAACTTTGGAGTCAGAGGCCTCAGACCCGGCGGTGGTCAGGGAAGGGCTGGAAGAACAATGGCTGCATCTAAATCCTGCCTGCACCACTGAGAGCCTTAGTGTTCCTTTCCCTCCTCAGCCTCAGTCTCCACCCGTGAAATAGGGATATGGTTCATTCCAGCTTCACAGAGCTGCACTGTCCAATGTAGTGGCCATGAGCCACCTGTGGCAACTAAGGGGAAATAAGAATTTAAAATCTGCCTCTAACATTTCAAGTGCTCAGTAACCACATGTAGCTGTGGCCAGTGCAGGTAAAAGAACATTTCCGGTATTGTAGGAAGTTGAGAACTTGGGGAGGATTAAGTGTAAAGTGCTTAGAACAATAACTATCATGCTGTGTGAGCTATTATTATTACCTGAGGGGCTGAGTTTTCTATGGTGGGGGATCCCAACAACCCCATTCCCAAATTTAACTGTGGTTAAGCCCCGACTTGCTGCTTCTGCGCCCCCAGCCCCTGGCGGTACCCTACCCATCAGAATTGAGTCGTCATCTTCACGTGTGGCCGAGGGGCAGACCCTGGATCTGAACTGCATGGTGCCTGGGCAGGCCCATGCCCAGGTCACATGGCATAAGCGCGGTGGCAGCCTCCCTAGTCACCATCAGGTATGTGGCAGCAGGGAATGGTGGGAAGGCCCTGGCTAGCTCCACCAGAAAGGAGGCCTGGGCGTCCCCACAGGGTCATTGCCCACTTGGACCAGCGGCTAGAGCTGGCCCCAGACCTCCAAGGGTTTCAGATTGGCACCTGACCCTACTCTTGCCCTGCCCCTGTACAGACCCACGGTTCACGGCTGCGGTTGTACCAGGTGTCCCCGGCCGACTCAGGCGAGTACGTATGCAGAGTGGTGGGCAGCTCTGTCCCCATGGAGGCCTCTGTCCTGGTCACCATCGAGGCCTCTGGCTCAACGACTGTCCGTATGCCTGGTGAGGGTCTTTGTGATGGGTCTGGGAGGCCGGAGGAGGGAGGAAGGGATGAAGTCCAGCAGGCAGGGCTGGAGAGAGGGAATACTTTCTGGCACTTAGAGACAGCTGACCCTCTCATCCCAAACGTCTGTCTCGTCTCACCCCCACAGTCCCAGAACTGAGGACCCAGGTCAAGGGAAATGACTCCCATCCCTCTTGAGGGCCTGCGAGCACAGGCTTTGGAGTCCGATATTTGTGGCTTGGTCCCAGCTCCTCTGTCTACATTTGGAGATGTTGCTCAAAGGACTTTGCCTCTCTGTATGTCACTATCCCCTCCGGTACAGGGGGGTGGTAGAGCTCTTATGCTCTACGATCTAATTATAGAGACAAGCCAACAAGTTCCCTAACGTCCAAAACCACACCCTGGGGTAGTTTCATCTTTATTCATGTATTAGGGAAAAAACACGATCCATCAGCCCTGTCCTTATTTCATGGAAATCATTGCCTCTAGTAGCACCACGCATTTAAGGTGTTTTAAAGTGAATCCACTGAAAGGAAAATGTCCAGTAATGAGTAGCATGGGGCACGTGGTAGCAGGAGTTAGGATAGAGCGCATGGATTGTGAGTGATGGCCACCATCCAGCACTGCCCGGGTTCTAGGCCCTACCATGCTCACACACGCTAATTCACGACAGCCCTTTAGGTAGGTGTGACCGTGCTTCCTATGTACAGAATGGGAAACTGAGACACAGAGAGGTGAAACTGCTTTCTGAAGGTCACACCGCCAATAACTGGCAGGGCCGGGGTTTGAACCCAGGCAGTCTGGCCCCAGAGGCCGGGTTGTGAGCCATACTCTCCTTGAGTTTGGGAAACAGTAATCTGTGTGAATGTGTCTGGGCCTGAGCCTGGGCCCCAGGAGCTGGGAGCATGGGGGGAGGGGGAAATGGTGGGGCCACTGTGTGGGGGCAGGGCTGGGAGAATGCAATACCTCCCCTCCCACATCCAGGCACCCAGGGGAGGGGCTGCGGGCACAGGGTGGGAGTCCCAGCTCACTGACCTCTCCCTGTGTCCCAGTCCCTGGCCATCCCGTGCCCATCAGAATCGAGTCGTCATCTTCACATGTGGCCGAGGGGCAGACCCTGGATCTGAACTGCGTGGTGCCTGGGCAGGCCCATGCCCAGGTCACCTGGCACAAGCGTGGGGGCAGCCTCCCTGCCCGGCACCAGGTGAGGACCTGGAGAAGCAGGGTGGGCATCTCTTTCGCACCTCCAGCAGTCCCACTAGATCCAACCCTGAAGGGAAGGCATTTTCAGCAACTGGGAGCAGTCTCTGGAGTCAGAAGGTTGAAAACAGGCTGAGCATGGCAGGGCTATCTTCAGCCCCACAGTGCCTTGGCACAAAGGAGAAAAGGACACCTCTTACTCAAGACACTTGGCTTCCTCCTACCAGAAAAAATGTCATGAACATAAACCCCACAGTGGCTCACGTCCAGGGCCACGTGTGACAGGATGCGGCCTACATAACTGTTTTGGGATATGGGCACCAGAGGCTTTGGCATCTAAGGCTCCCAACTCACCCTCCCATCTTGCCCCACCTTGGCCAGGTCCATGGATCCCTGCTGAGGCTGAACCAGGTGTCCCCAGCCGACTCTGGCGAGTACTCTTGTCAAGTGACTGGAAGCTCAGGCACCCTGGAGGCATCTGTCCTGGTCACAATTGAGCCCTCTGGCCCAGGCCCCATTCCTGGTGAGTGACAAGGAGCAGTGGGCCCTTCTAGGGCACAGGCGGGGGCCCTTCCAGGCCTGGCTCTTGTTGTGGCCCTGTCCGGAGAAAGGTCCTGCAGCTGAGATCAGGCCAAGACAGATGTCCCCAAATCTGACGATGCCCAGGGCCCAACTAGCTGCTTCTATGTCCCTAGTCCCTGGTGGTGGTTTGGTCCGACACCTCAGCCAGTGGGAACCCAGTCTTGGGTCTCAGGATATCTTAGACCCCAGGGGAAGGAGACCCTTCTTAGGTCAATGGAGCACAGCCACATTAGCCACTCTCAAGCCACTGTGCCCCCAGAGGACCAGCGGGCTTCCAGTGCCACCACCATGTGTCCTTGTCTGCCCGGGAGCTGGGCCTGTCTCACCCACCCCTGTGCCCACAGCCCCAGGACTGGCCCAGCCTATCTACATCGAGGCCTCCTCCTCACACGTGGCAGAGGGGCAGACCCTGGATCTGAACTGCGTGGTGCCTGGGCAGGCCCACGCCCAGGTCACGTGGCACAAGCGTGGGGACAGCCTGCCTGCCCGGCACCAGGTGAGGGACTGGAGAAGCAGGGTGGGGAGGGTTCCAGGACAGGCGCAGTTCAACCTGCAGTTGCCTTCTGCACGCAAACCTCATGCACTCCAGCCTGCTTGGGAACCAAAGGGGACAACACACTTTTGGGAGAAGAGGTCACCAGCCTGCAAGTTGAGAGACCTGAGGGTTTTACTCTTGACTTTGCTGACGAATAATTTCCTGAGCCTCAGTTTCCTCCACTATAAAGTTGATGGGTTGAAGGCTGAGCACAGTAGCTCACACCTGTAATCCCAGTGCTTTGGGAGGCTGAGGTGGGTTCGCTTGAGGCCAGGAATGCGAGACCAAGCTGGGCAACATAGCAAGACCCTATCGCTACAGAAAAAATTTTTTTCATATTAAAATTTTAGCTAGCCTGTAATCCTAGCCACCTGGAAGGAGGATTGTTTGAGCCCAGGAGTTTGATGCTGCCATGAGCTATGATTGCACCACTGTACTCCAGGCTGGGTGACAGAGCAAGACCATATATCTTTTATTAAAAAAAAGTTAGGTTGGATTTCTAGGACTCTGTGAATCGAGCTTCCTCCATCCCCACCAGTGGGGCCCTGAGCTCCTAAGACCCATGGGAGAACTCCTGGGTCCTGGCACAGCCTGGCTTGGAGACTTTCCTTGTCCCGAGCTTTGGCCTGATGGCCACCCTCTCCTCACTCCGACAGACCCATGGCTCCCAGCTGCGACTCCACCAGGTCTCCCCTGCTGACTCGGGCGAGTACGTGTGCCGCGTGGCCGGCAGCTCAGGCACTGAGCGGGAGGCCTCCTTCACGGTCACCATCCTCCCCGGCGAGGGATCTTCCTACCGTGAGTGTGGCAGATGCCACGGGCAAGGGACGGGGAGCCGAGCAACCCACCCGCTGAGCCCAGCCCTTCCCCTGTCACCCCCAGGCCTTAAGAGCCCTGTCATCTCCATCGACCCACCCAGCAGCACCGTGCGGCAGGGCCAAGACGCCAGCTTCAAGTGTCTCATCCATGACGGGGCGGCCCCCATCAGCCTCGAGTGGAAAACCCGGGGCCAGGAGCTGGAGGGTGAGCAGCGGGCTGGGGCAGGCATGAGGGCGTGCTGGTCCCCACTGTGAGGGCGGGGTAGAACTTGGGACCCTGGGCAAGGCCCCTCCCTTCTCCACATGGTGAGGGGACCAGACCCAGGAGTTTCCAAGGGCACTTTTACCTTCTGCCATCTGTGACTCCGTGAACCAGAGGGGCAGGAGCTGACAGTGCCAAGACATAGGAAGGGCCAGGTGGGCCCTCACTCACCCTCTCCTCCCCCAACACAATCCCACAGACAACGTCCACATCAGTCCCAACGGCTCCGTCATCACCATCGTGGGCACGCGGCCCAGCAATCATGGTGCCTACCGCTGCGTGGCCTCCAATGCCTACGGCGTGGCCCAGAGTGTCGTGAACCTCAGTGTGTATGGTGAGCGGGCACCGACCCCATGAGGCTCTACCCTCCTGTTTCCAGCCCTGTTCTCAGCTCAGAACCTCCAGGTTAAGTCCTGCCTTTGCCACAGCCTCCCTCTTGGAGAGCCTCTTTCTCTGACCCTCAATTTCCACCTCAGTGCAGTGGGGAGACTGTTGCCCACCCGGTGGTTACTGAACTGGAGGCTATGACAGCACGTGTGACCAGCGTAACCCTGCAGGTGTGTCAACGGTTATCATTTCTCTGGGCAGGGCCCCCCACGGTGTCCGTGCTCCCCGAGGGCCCCGTGCGGGTGAAAGCAGGAAAGTCCATCACCCTGGAGTGTGTCAGTGCCGGGGAGCCCCGCTCCACTGCGCGCTGGACCCGGGTCGGTGCCCCTACCAAGTTGGAGCCACGGATGTACGGGCTTCTGGACAGCCACACAGTGCTGCAGGTAAGGCCAGGGCCATGGCTCTCAGGGTCAGTGGTCCAGTCCTGGGCCCCGCCCTGAGCAGGTGCTTGAGGGAGAGAGGGGTGGGTGGGTGATTGGCCAGGTGGTGATGAGCTGATGGGGGTGGATGGGATGGGTGGATGGGAAGTGAACTGGAAGACAGGAGGGAAGAAAGAAGGCAGGAAGGATGGGTGATGCTCTGATAGGGTGTGGGTGGACTGCTGGGTGTCATGAGGGTGACCTCTAGCTACCAGACAGGAGAGTTGAAAACCGAGAAAGGCAGAAGAAAGAGGGAAGACTTGCCCAAGCTGGGTCCGACGTCAGCGTCCCCTCGGCACCCATGTGAACAGCCTCTGTGCTTTCTCCCAGATTTCATCAGCAAAGCCATCAGATGCAGGCACCTATGTGTGCCTTGCTCAGAATGCACTGGGCATGGCACAGAAGCGAGTGGAGGTGATCGTGGACACAGGCACCGTGGCCCCTGGGGCTCCCCAGGTCCAGGTTGAAGAAGCTGAGCTGACCGTGGAGGCTGGACACAGAGCCACCCTGCGATGCTCAGCCACAGGTGTGGCCGGGGTTGGCACATGGGCCTACAAAGTGGGGATACCCTGGGGCCTACAATGTAGATGCACACAACCTGGAGGGATGTCAGGCCTGGCAGAGGACTGGGAGAGGTTTTGCTGTCAGCCTCTCCCGGTGATGGCTGAGATGCTTACTTAGTGCCTCACAGAGGGACAGGTTCTCCCAGGGCCCTTCCCCGCCACCCCACCCTCCACTGGTCCTGGGGCAGCCCAGCCACCCCTGCCATCTTCCGCTCTACTCCATAGGCAGCCCTGCACCTACCATCCACTGGTCCAAGCTGCGCTCCCCCCTGCCCTGGCAGCACCGACTGGAAGGCAACACTCTTGTCATCCCACGGGTAGCCCAGCAGGACTCGGGCCAATACATCTGCAATGCCACTAGCCCTGTGGGGCACGCTGAGGCCACTGTCATCCTGCATGTGGAGAGTAAGGCGCTCAGCCCCTCCTTGGGGGCTCCCTGTCTGCCCAGAGGCCTGACTCCTCCCACTCTGGACAGAACCCCAAGGACCCCCATCCAGAGGACCCCATGCACCTGAGAGACCCTGAGTCTGTCCTTGTCCAACATTCACAGCTCCTTCTGGGACCCTTGTTCTCTTCACTCCAGGCCTCTGGGCCCCGTGGTCTTTTGTTGGGTTGCCTAGATCCAACTGCCTGCTGCCACCCTGACCCCTGTTCCCTCCATCCAGGCCCACCCTATGCCACTGTGGTCCCGGAGCACGCTGTGGTGCAGGTGGGGGAGACGGTGCGGCTACAGTGCTTGGCACACGGGACACCCCCACTCACCTTCCAGTGGAGCCGCGTGGGTGGCGGCCTTCCCGGCAGAGCCACTGCCAGGAATGAGCTGCTGCACTTGGAGCCCGCAGCCCCCGAGGACTCAGGCCGCTATCGCTGCCAGGTCACCAACAAGGTGGGCTCAGCAGAGGCCTTTGCCCAGCTGCTCGTCCAAGGTAAGCGGCCCTGGCTCAGGGTGAACGGAAAGAGCCAGCTGTCCTCTAGGTCATTGGTGACCCAGCAGCAGGCACCTGGAGACCACACTTGGAGTACAAAGGCCTCCCCCCGACCCCCTCTAAAAAGCCCTGCTCCCTACATTCTCTCCCTGGGGCCCAAGATAGGCTTGCCTCCTCCAGGAAGGCCCTCCCTTGCCATGTTCTCAGCTCCCCAGATCTCAGGGTTGCTCCCCTTTCTTGGCACTGCCCCGGCACTGCCCTGGCATACCCAGCCTACTGCACCTGCCACATGGCGAGGGTACTCGGGCACCTGGAAAGGCCAAGGACCAGTCATCTCAGCAGCCCTGGGCCTACCTGCCGCGGGGCCCAAGACAGACTGGGTAAATGCTCAGCAGGGACAACAGTGAGTGAGTGAGTGACTGGCCGCACCCACCCCCAGCCTGCCCGGGGCTTCAGTGGGTCTCCATGGTTCCTATGTCAGTGAAACTAACTAGGGATCTGGAGCCCACTGGTCAACAGCCTGGACTCTGGAGTCAGACAGACCTGAGTTCAAAGCACACACTGGTCGCTTGCTGGCTGTACAACTTTGGCCAAATCATTTAACCTATTACACCTCAGTTTCTTCATCTGTAAGTGGAGAGAACAATGCAGTCCACATAGGCTGAGTTAGAAGGGCTTGCAGATGACTGGGCTTGCTGTTCGCACCTATAATCCCAGGACTTTGGAAGGCTAAGGCAGAAGGATTGCTTTCGGCCATGAATTCAAGATCAGCTTGCACAACATAGCAAGATTCCATCTCTACAAAAACTAAAAATACTAACCAGATATGGTGGTACATACTATAGTCCTGGCTACTCGGGAAGCTGAGACAGAAGGATCACTTGAGCCCAGGAGATATCAGAGCTACAGTGAGCCATGATCAGCCACTGCACTCCAGCCTGGTGACAGAGTGAAACCTCGTCTCTAAAAAACCCCAAAAAGGCCACGGACGTAAAGGTCAGGGCCCAGTGGGCCCTTCGTAAAGAGGGTGACGTTCCTCCATCCCCTGCACACGTGTCTTTGCTACGGCCCCGTCCCTGGATCTCTTATCTTAGACTGCAGCCAGGATAGTCTTTGCTGTCCTCCCTTAAAATGTCTGAGTCCTTCCTGCTCTTGCCGGGACCTACCCTCCCTACCCAGAGGCCAGGAGCAGTGGAAGTGGAGCCCAGCACCCCATAGGCCCTTATCCTGTTGACTGACTACATGAGGGAATGAATGAGTGCATCCACCAATAAAGGCCTTTTTCCTGATCAGAGAGGCTTCCAGAGAAGAACAACCCTTGAATGTTGGGATGGGGGTTTCCTGGGTCCCTGGGCAGTGTCAGGGACGTCACACACATGTACCTGCAGAACCTCGTGCATGTTCCCTCAGGCTCCTCAGGCTCTGTCCCTGCCACCGCCATCCCGGCAGGGTCCTCGCCTGCCATGCAGGTCACACCTCAGCTGGAGACCAAGAGCATCGGGGCCAGCGCTGAGTTCCACTGTGTCGTGCCCAGCGACCAGGGCACCCACATCCGTTGGTTCAAGGAGGGGGGCCAGCTGCCTGCTGGCTACAGTGTGCAGGATGGGGTGCTCCGGTGAGTGGGATGGGACCAGACTGGACTAGGGCACCCCAGCGGGGCTGAGTGAGAATGCCTGCCCTTAGGGCTCAGCATGAAACACTTTCCTTGGGCAAGTCACTTTACCCTCTGAGCCTCAGTGTTTTCAGCTGCACAGTGGCTTATGTGAGACTGAAGTGAGATTATCTAAAGCACTTATACAGTGCTTGGCACATGGAAGGCCTTCAGCAAACAATAGCCCGTATTCCTATTATTGGTGGAGGAAGGAGATATATACAAATGACCCCACATTTCGGCTCTGCCACTTGATAACCGTGTGATCTTGAGCTCCAGACCATGATGTCTTTGTCCAAAACATATGTGGTGTCCCCCACCCCACCTGCCTGCCCACCTCACATGGTTCCTGGGAGACTAGAGGATAGATGTCAGATGGTAATTCCCACACAATTGCAAAACATTTCCTCCAATTGTTTTTATTCCCTCGATGTCTTATATGTTTTCTTTATAGGATCCAGAACTTGGACCAGAGCTGCCAAGGGACATACGTTTGTCAGGCCCATGGACCTTGGGGTCAGGGCCAGGCCAGTGCCCAGCTGGTTGTCCAAGGTAGGAGGGTGGCTTCAGACTTCTGCTAAGAGCAGAGGGCAGAGATAGGAAGGGGAGAGGGGCACAGGATTCAGGCTGTGTTCCCTAGGAAGCCTTTGAAATATGTAAGAATAAGGAGAATTATTTTACGTCACTTGTGTCTAGCATCGAGTCAGGGGTGGAGTGAGTGGGTGCTCAGAAAAACCAATGAAGGGTTAACTAGCATAAGCCAGGCATAGTGGTGTATACTTCCCAGCTACCCAGGAGACTGAGGTGAGAGGATTGCTTGAGCCCGGGAGCTTGAGACCAGCCTGGACAACACAGTGAGACCCCATCTCTATAAAAGTAAAAAAAAAATTGCCAAGTATAGTGATGCATACCCTGTAATCCCAACTACTTAGGAACCTGAAGTGGGAGGATTACTTGAGCCCAGAAGTTCAAGGCTGCAGTGAGCTATCACTGTGCCATGGCACTCCAGCCTAGGAAAGAGAGCAAGACCCTGTCTCTAAAAATAAAAAAATAAATAACTTTTAAAATAAAGTGAACTAAGATTCCTGGCCAGGCATGATGGCCATGCCTATAGTCCCACCTACTTGGGAGGCTGAGGCAGGACGAGCCTTTGTGCCTGGGAGTTCAAGGCTGCAGTGAACTATGATTGTACTTGTGACTTGCCACTGTGCTCCAGTGTGGGCAACATACCAAAACCCTGTCTCTTTGGGGAAAAAATGAATCAATGAGCAGACACGAGAGAGTAAATGCATAAGCAAAAGAGCCAACAAGTGGGTGTATTCATGAATGAGTTCGTGGAAAGGTGAACGACGGATGAACAATGCTAGGCCTCTGGTGCTTACCTTTTCCTGGGCAGTCTGTGGCCTCCCTCGGGCCAGGCCTGCAGCCATCTACCTCAACGGACCCCTGCCTCCTCCTCCCCAGCGCTGCCCTCAGTGCTCATCAACATCCGGACCTCCGTGCAGACCGTGGTGGTCGGCCACGCCGTGGAATTTGAGTGCCTGGCACTGGGTGACCCCAAGCCTCAGGTGACATGGAGCAAAGTCGGGGGGCGCCTGCGGCCTGGCATCGTGCAGAGTGGAGGTGTCGTCAGGATTGCCCACGTGGAGCTGGCTGACGCGGGACAGTACCGCTGCACTGCCACCAATGCTGCCGGCACCACCCATTCCCACGTGCTGCTGCTCGTGCAAGGTGAAGGCCAGCAGGGACCTTTGTTGGGGGGACACGAGCAGGGCAGGGGCTTCCCTACTATGTGTATATAAGGGACAGATTTCATAAAGGGAACATAGCGAGTGTCCCCTGGGGCAGGATGTAACTTAGAGGAAAAGAGTTGTGCTGTGAGCATCAAGAGAGAGAAAGAAACACTGGAGATATAACACAAACAGACATATTAGAGAGTAAAACAAGGACTATAGATGCTGGGCAGACACAAACTGTGTTTTCTTTAAAGGCAATTCCTTTTGACTCCAACCCCTATGGCTTGCTCCCAAACCTTGTCACCCATGTGGCCCTAGTTCCCACTTCTCAGGCCCCCAAAGGGTTACACAATTTTCTGCCCAGGAGTGTTGAAGAAAGCTTGGGCTGTGGAGTGGAATGGGCCTGGCCCTGAACCCTGACTCTGCCTGCTTCCCTCTGTGCAACCAGGAGTGAGCAGCTGCTGCTTCTCTCTAAGCCACTATTTCCTCATCTGTAAAATGGGATGTAGTGCTTCCTTCCAGGGGGTAGTGTGAGAATTAATGAACCCGGGCGGTGCACACAAATGGGGGCCGTCATCAGGTTGATGGCCTGTGTCTCCTCCCCACCTCTCAGCCTTGCCCCAGATCTCAACACCTCCAGAAGTCCGTGTGCCTGCTGGCTCTGCAGCCGTCTTCCCCTGCGTGGCTTCTGGCTACCCTGCTCCTGACATCACCTGGAGCAAGGTACATACTAGGCAGGGCCCCCGTGGGCATGCCTAGGGCCCGGATGAGGTTGGAACTGTCCCAGTGTCCTCAGGACCTGGCATAGGCTTGGCCAAGAGTAAATACTCAGTGTTTGGAGGTGGGCCTGAGGCAGGCCCCGTGGAGGCGTGGGCCACAGCCAGGGCCCTCAGTGCTGGTGTGTTTGCAGCTGGACGGCAATCTGCCACCTGACAGCCGCCTAGAGAACAACATGCTGATGCTGCCCTCCGTGCAACCCCAGGATGCAGGCACCTACGTGTGCACCGCCACTAACCGCCAGGGCAAAGTCAAAGCCTTTGCCCATCTGCAGGTGCCAGGTAAGACATCCCCGCCAGAACCGGCATTGCCCTGCCTGCTCCTTCCCTGGTGGGCATCATCTCCAATTGTGCCTTCTGCCCGCAGAGCGGGTAGTACCCTACTTCACGCAGACGCCCCACTCCTTCCTGCCGCTGCCCACCATCAAGGATGCCTACAGGAAGTTTGAGATCAAGATCACCTTCCGGCCCGACTCAGCCGATGGTGAGCAGGGAGTTGATCTGGGGGGCCTGGCCTGGATGGGGGTCCCGTGGAGTAAGTGCCATCATTGCATGAGCCCTGGCTGACTCCCAGGCTGGCCCAGCTCCCGGGCTCTCCCTGTCCAGGAGCTCCCAGGCCTCTGCTCCGGGCCCACTCGAGCCTCCTCGTCTCCACCCCTGCCTCTGTGAGATCTCCAGCCCCCCATGGTGCCTCTGCCACGGGTGTATCCACCCAGTCCTGTCCTGTCTTCCTCTCCCCCATCTGCTTCCTTCTTCCTGCTCAGCCTTGCGTCTCTCACCCTCTCATCCTCTCTCTCTCTCATCTCCCACGGGGCTCTGACTCTCCCTGTCCAGGCCTCCTTCTCTACTCGGGTGAGTCTCTGCCTGCCTCTCCTCCTTGTAAACCCTCCAGTGTGTGTGAAGCAAATTCCAGGTCTTTCCAGGGGCTCTCCTAAGGCCTGCCTGTTTGGGGCACCAGCCCCGAGACAGTGAGAAGGCCCAGGCTGTGTGAGGGAGCCAGAGGGGTGCCTGAGTTTGGGTCGTTCCTGGGGTGGGGGCGGATAGAGCCCCTCACACAGCTGTGCCCACCCAGGGATGCTGCTGTACAATGGGCAGAAGCGGATCCCAGGGAGCCCCACCAACCTAGCCCACCGGCAGCCCGACTTCATCTCCTTTGGCCTTGTGGGCGGAAGGCCCGAGTTCCGGTGAGACCCTCCACCTCCCCATCACAGGGGGCCATCGCAGGGGCTTAGTCAGACACAAGAGGATCTGGAGGAAGGAGGAGACGTGATTGTTACCATTGGTGACCACCTGATCTGCTGGGGTAGCACAGTATGCCAGTCAGGTGGAGTAGATAGCACCCTTGGACTCAGGACTGCTGTAGGCCAGGATGCATTCATTCATTCATTCATTCATTCATCAGTTATTTGCAGAATACCTACCATACACCAGGCACTGATACAGGCATAAACAAAACAGATCGGGCTCTGGCCCTTGTGGGAACGCATGTTCTAGTTGAGGAAGACAAGCCATAAACAAAGGAAGAAACAAGGTGACCTCAGAGAGAGGAGCATCCAGAGGGGCCTGAAGCCAGGTGCTGGGTGCGGGGCCCTGAACCTGAGTGGGTAGAGCCTCGTGGGTGCTCTGGCAGGGCTTCCGGAGGAGGAACGTGGGAGAGCAGGCCTGGGGTGAGGCCAAGGCAGGGACAGTAGCTGCACTGCAAGATTGGTGGCCTCCCCCCTCTGGTGCCTCCTCCTCCCACAACCCCTGGCTCCTCTCTCTCCTGCCCCGGCCCCGCCCTGCCCCACGGAGTAGGTTTGATGCGGGCTCTGGCATGGCCACTATCCGCCACCCCACACCACTGGCCCTGGGCCAGTTCCACACCGTGACCCTGCTGCGCAGCCTCACCCAGGGATCCCTGATAGTGGGTGACCTGGCCCCAGTCAACGGCACCTCCCAGGTGAGACCCGCCCTGGCCCTGTTCCCTGCCCCCAGCCCACCCCTGCCCAGCCTTTGTGCCATCCTGACCTCCCTGCCTCCCCAGGGCAAGTTCCAGGGCTTGGATCTGAATGAGGAGCTCTATCTGGGCGGTTACCCCGACTACGGCGCCATCCCCAAAGCTGGGCTGAGCAGTGGCTTCATAGGTGAGGGCCCAGCCTCACCTGGCTGGCCAGCAGTGCCCTCGGGAGCCTGGGCGGGCCCCACAGGATGCAGGCTGGAGCTGGGCAGGCCTCCCAGTGCCCCGCCCCCACTCACAACCTCTGCCCCCACTCACAACCTCTGCCCCCAGGCTGTGTCCGGGAGCTGCGCATCCAGGGAGAAGAGATCATCTTTCACGACCTCAACCTCACGGCGCACGGCATAGCCCACTGCCCCACCTGCCGGGACCGGCCCTGCCAGGTGACCCCCGCCTGGCCACTGCCCCAGCCGTGGCTGGCCCCTGTGGGGAGTGGAGGGGGTGCTGGATATTCTAGGCCTCACTTCCGGGCTGCTTTGCAGAATGGGGGCCAGTGCCGTGACTCGGAGGGCAGCAGCTACATGTGCGTCTGTCCAGCTGGCTTCACCGGCAGCCGCTGTGAGCACTCGCAGGCCCTGCACTGCCATCCGGGTACGCAGCCCACCTGCTCTCA